GAGTTTCAGATGTCGTATCTGCCCAGAAGAACTGACTGACCTCCCTGCAAACATCTTAGCAAAAGTGACTACTACAGTATCAGTCCCTTGATTCAATCACACATAATATCTTATTAGCATACACTTAGATCTATTAAAGAGAACTTTCTGCTTTAGAAACACATAAAGTTAGAGTCAGGCCATCTTAAACAGTAGCTTGGGGAAGGCAGCCCTGTGGGACAGGTCCTTCCAGCAGCCAGAGAGCTTGGCTGCTCCTTTCAATAAATAGCATTTGCTTTGCTCACTCCTTCCTTGGTTGCATGCGTCATTCTTCATAATCATGAACCCAAAAACTCAGCAGAGAAGTAGCCACCCAGAAAGGCTGCAGCACCCAGTGAACATGGCAGACACACGAAGTCGGGACACAGAGAGCTGGGACATGGGAGCTATGCTGTACCTGAACAAGCTGGCAAACATAAAAATCTGCCACATCAGGCCCGGTGGTGTGGCCTAGTGGCTAAAGTCCTCGCCTGAACATACTGGGATCCCACATGAGTGTCAGTTCTAATCCTGGCAGCTCCACTTCCCATCCAGCTCCCTGCTTGTGGCCTGGCAGTTGAGGATGATCCAAAGCCTTGGGACCCTGCACCCACATGGGAGACCTGGAAGAGGCTCCTGGCTCCTGGCTTCGGATCAGTGCAGCACCGGCCGTTGCGGTCACTTGGGGAGTGAATCATCAGATGGAAGATCTTCCTCTCTGTCTCTCCTCCTCTATGTATATCTCTGACTTTCCAATAAAAATAAATAAATCCTTAAAAAAATCTGCCACATGTCTTAGGTTGAGACACAGACTCAAATGACTGGAGCCCAAAGTTCCTCCAGATACCACTGCAACACCAACTAATCATGCTCCTTTTTCACTTTTACTTATTTAATTTGTTTACTATTTTTAAGGCAGAATGACAATAGGGAGGGAAACACAGTGAGATCATCTATTCACTGGTTCACATCCAAATGCCCACAATAGCCGGGGATGGGCCAGACCACAGACGAGAGCCTGAAACCCAATCTGGGTCTCTCACAGGCATGGGCCATCACTTGCTGTCCACCAGGATGTGATTGGCAGGAAGCTGGCTCAGAAGCAAAGGTAGGACTGGATGTCAAGTGCAATGATATGGGATACAGGCATCCTAAGTGGCAGTTTAACTTGCTGTATCACAACACCTGCTCCCACATTCCTTTTCTTCTTACAAATATGTATTTTGTTTTATTGTATTATTTATTTGAGAAGGAGAGAGGAGTGCAAGAGCAAGACAGCTTCTCCATTGGCTAGTTCACTCTCCAAAGGACTCTAGCAGCTGGGCTGGGCCAGGCAGGATCCTGGAGCTAGAAACTCTACCTGGGTCTCCCATGTGTGCGGCAGGGCTTAAGTCGTCACCTCTCTGGCATGTTAGCCTCTCTGGTACGTTAGCAGTGAGCTAGATCAGAAACAGAGCAGCTGGGACTGGGAGCAGCCATCGCTGCACACTCCTTTTCTTCTTTTTTAAGAGATGAATTTGTTTAAAAGGCAGAGAAGGAGGGAGAGAGAGAGCCATTGACTGCTTCACTTCCCCAAATGGTCATACCAACCGAACAGAGCTGGGCTGATTTGAAGCTGGGAACCAGAAGGTTCTTCCAGGTCTCCGACGTGGGTGCAGGGGCTTAGAGACTTGAGCCATCCTCCAATGATTTCCCAGGCACACTAGCAGGGAGCTAGAGGACAGTGAAGCAACTGGGACTCAAACCCATACCCTCATAGGATCTCGGCATTGGCGCACTGGAGGCGGCAGCTTTACCTGCCTTGCCGACAGCACCAGGCCCATGTTGCATTTCGTGATCTGGTTGCTGGCTTGGTTTTCAAGGGTTCGTGCTCTGTTTGCAAGCATTCATCTGGCTGTGCACTTCCGCGCAAGCATGTGATACGTCACTGGAGAGCTGAATGCTGATTAGGGCCCCCTGTATCAAAACGGATTATTTTCAACTCTACCAGGTTGAGAAAGAAAAGGATGATTATTCTACACTGGTAAAAAGTAAAACCAAACAGAACAAAAGCAACCTATGCCACTGATGTCTCCCTAATTATGTAGTGAAAGATTAAAACTATGCAAGGGCGCCATCAGGAACCCCCGACAGCCTTTCGTGCAGAGGAGGGCAAGATAAAGGTGGAATGGGGAGGCCAACCCAGTAGTTTTCAGCTGGCCTTGAAATACTTTTCTTACAGAAAACAAAATAACTTCAGGCAACTGACAAAATGTTTGGCTTTGTGGGCAGAGTGCTCACAGGTATTTTTGTGCTGTAACTTGCCTCTAGGGAGTGCTGTGTGCTTTCAGGTGCCCGTGACGCAGAGCTAACGAGCCTGCGGATTTGCCATGACCTGTATGGGGCAGGTGCAGTTTCTCTGGTGTGACGTTTTCTACCCTGAAACATGCTCCCATTCTTCAGCCGCTTCCCTTTTTCTTCTGTAAAACTACATGAAACTCATGCTTACGTGTTTCTTGTCCAGTTTTCTTTAAAAGATTCATTTTTATTCCAAAGTTACAGAAAAGAGAGAGATCGTCTATCCACTTCCATCACTCCCCAAGTGACCGCAATGGCCGGAACTGAGCCGATCTGAAACCAGGATCCAGGAGCTTATTCCAGGTCTCTCATATGGTTTTGGGCTGTCCTCGACTGCTTTCCCAGGCCACAAGCAGGGAGCTGGATTGGAAGGGGAACAGCCAGGAAAGGAAGTGGCACCCATATGGGATCACCAGCACTGCAGGTAGAGGTATAGCATGCTACACAACAGCATCGGCACCAGAGTCCAGTTTCTTCACAAAACATTGATGACCTTTGTGACCTTATGACCAGTATCCTATTATTTTAAATTTTAGATGTCAATAAATTTTGTATTCTTCCTGTTCCCATTGCTCACTTCTCTTATCCAGTCCACAAGTTCTTTAGATAACTGTCTTGGATTTTCCTAAGATGTATTGTACTTACTTGAAAGGCAGAGAGATTGAGGAAAAAAAAAAAATCAATCTTGCATCCACTGGTTCACTCCCCAGGGAAGCGCAGCAGTGGGGACTCCAACAAGAGCTCCAAGCTGGGATGCTGGGGTAGGAAGTGGGAACTCTGGCCCAATGCCCACCCCTGCTGCTCCTCTCTGAATCGCTTTCATCCTGTCCATGTCTTCCCATCCTTCTCACTCCCACTGTGTTCTTTGCTGGTACTTCTCCTTCCCCTTGCTTTTGTCTTTCTTCTCACTTCCCCTAGAGTGTGTCTGTCTGCCTCACCCCAGCTGCTCAGGGTCTCTCGAGAGAGCAGGTAGGACAAGGCAGTCCTTCAGTCTGGACCGGGCTCCCTTGACTTCGTCCACTTCTTTAACGGCCCTCAGCCACCCATGAAATGATCTGCCTCTTCCATCAGCACACAGGTAGGGGACAAATGCGGGGGTCACAGAGTGTTACAGCCACCAGCGAAGGTGGCTGGCACGGGGCCCAGCTCAGGTCAAGGGGTGTGGGCTAGGAACCCGGTCTGTCTGGGGCCCTCGGCTCAGGAGACGCGGATGACCCACGGTGTCCCAGCTCACAGCCAAGCAAGATCAGGTGTGGCCACCGTACAACTTGGTCCCCAGACTCCAGACATGATTCCTAGGCCCAATCCCCTGCTTCTAAACCCTAGTATGCATTGCGCCAAAAGACCCTAAAGTCACCCCGCGCCAGCAAGCCTCTTGTGCCACAGGAAGCAAGGAAGTGCCCCGGGGTCCCGCAGCCCAATGGCCTCGGGGACTGTGACCCAGCTTCCAGGGAAGGGAGAAGCGGGACCCGGAGGTGCGGGGATTGAAGATGGGAAGAGGTGGAGTGGAAAGGCTGAGGTCGATCAGGGTCCTCTAGCGGAGGACTCTGCTTACTGCAGCGAAAGGTGCAGCAGGGACCGGGTCGGAGGGGCGGGGCCGGCCGGTAGGTGGGAGCACAGCCGAGGGAGGCACAGGCAAGGGAAGGGCTAGATCAGCTGGAGCTTGGGGCGAGGGTGGGGGCTCTCTTGGGGGTGGATTAACACTTTGTTCCATGAAAGCCTCCAGCGTGTCCTAGTTGTGGGGCTGTCACTCTGGTCACCATGCACTGCGGGAAGAAGCGTCCCTCAAGCAACTGTGCCGCGGCTCTGCCACCACTGAGTGATGGGGCCCTGGTTTTTGGAGGCTCAGGAACTTGGTCTGTACAGCCTCGTAGACCAGTTCCGCACAGAAGAAATGGCTCCTCCATGGGCTTGAACGAGACAGTGCGCGTTGCGGCAGTTCAGGCAGAGAAAGCTGGATTGTTCAGGAAGCGTTGCGCCTCCCTGTGGCCGGATACAGGCATTGCTAGTCCCGCCAGTTTGCTCAGAAGTAACATACTGGGGGGCTGGGGAAGACACAGACGTCCATCCAGAAAAATCTTTTTCTTGTAGCCCCTCCCTCCCCACTGCAAAATGAGAAGGCATTTCTGAATATTTTGTAAATTTGCCCTTGAAAACAATCTGACTACACCACGCATGGGTGACAGCCAAGTGGCTCTGAACCACAAGGGAGCAGTGGAATCAGGTGCCTTGGTTGATGAATTGGGTCTCCCGGAGACCTTCTTCCATCCCAGGCTCCTGGGCAGCCCACCCAGATGCACGACTGTTTTCATAAACGGGGTGATGGGGGGGCGGGGGCAACCGATTTCCCAGCTGTGGCATCATCAAGGGGTGCTCCTGCCTGCCTGGAGGGAGAGTGGAGGGCCACTGCCCAGCGCCTCGCAACCCTGCTGTTAACCTGCCTTTGTCCCAAGGCTGTGACTCCCTCACTACCCTCACTCCTGCACCTGATTTAGATCCTCATCTGTTCCCCATTTATTCCCAATCCCTCCCTTGAAGTAGGCCTCCAAGTCTGTGGGCTGCTGTGCCCCAGGACGGGGTGGGGGACCCTGTCCCTGGTCCTGAGGAGGGGCTCTTAGCATGGCTCAAGGAGTACATCACACGGGGCATTTCCAAAGTGGCTTTAAATATTTGTCAGGAGGGGCCACCGAAAGGAGCTGTAATAGAGGGCTTGACCACATGTGTGTGGGGCTGGGGTGCCCTGAGAGAGAAAAAAAGGGGGACCCATCTGTCAGGGCAGCTGGGAGACCCCACCCCCACCCTGGGACAAGGGAGCAGAGCAGACCCTCTCTGGAGAGTCCTGGGGTAAAGTGGGAGCCAGCCCTCCCGCCGAGGTAGATTGCTGGGGAGGGAACCGGCGAGCAGCCCCCACGGTGGTGGTGGTGGTGGTGGTGACGGGGGTGGCGGTGGTCGCTGCTTCACTGGTATTATTGATAGTTGGGATAGCCTGGGGCCGGGGTACCCTCCTTAGAGGCCAGTTGGCTGGGGTCTTCCAGGAACGGGGGTGCTAAGAAAGGAAAGAAGTTGGTAAGGATTGATGCAGATGGCTGCATGGGGTGCTCCCCACCTCTCCCTGCCCAGCAGCCACTCACCGTTGCGGAACTGCTGGGCGGTGTAGCGAGTGAGGAGGATGCCGACCCCTTCGATGAGAGCCAGGAGAATGCCTCCCATCATTGCCGAGCCCACCATGGCCAAGGGGCCGCCTTGCAAGACAAGGGCACAGCAACACAGGTAAGGGTGGGCAGGAGAGACAGGGAAGGGGCTGGGGGCCGGGGGTGGGGCCACACTCACTGCGGGCAGCCAGCACGGCCCCAGTCAGTGCTCCGCTGGTGATGGAGTTCCAGGGGTCCTCTTGGCCCCGCAGGCGCACCAGGCCACAGTCGATGGTGGAGAACAGACCACCCCACACCGCGAAGCTACCTGCAGGGGAGACACTCTCAATCAACATACCCGGGGCAATGGCAAGCAGCGACGTGCCAGGGGCCCTCGGAGCCTGAAAGCCCTAGTGAAGAGCAGGGAGACCCTTCATCACAGACACACACACAGAGGCAGATTGCCACTGCTGAGGAGTGGTCCCTCTGTGAGCGCGCCCTGCCACAGCTCCCGCTTCCGAGCGGTCTACTTAAACCACAGCCTTCACCTTGCCCTGAGAGGGAACTGAAAAAGGCCAGTGAACAATTATCTCTCTCTTTTTTTAAGATTTATTTATTTTTATTGGAAAGTAACATTTACAGAGAATGAGAGACAGAGAAAGTTCAGTCCACTGGTTCACTCCCCAAGTGGTCGGAGTTAAGCCGAAGCCAGTAGCCAGGAGCTTCTTCCGGGTCTCCCACGCGGGTGCAGGGTCCCAAGGCTTTGGGCCGTCCTCGACTGCTTTCCCAGAACAGAAGCAGGGAGCTGGATGGGCAGTGGAGTCACCGGGACATGACCTGGTACCCATATGGGATGCCAGTACTAGCAGGCAGACAACTAGCCAAGTGACCCATCATCACAAGAGATGTGTATCTGATTTCCCCATAAAGAAAGAAAAACATGGTGGGAGGCATCAATAGAAGAAGAGATGACACAGAAGAATCAGAGAACTTACAAGCAGGCTATGTGCAGAAGCTAGCCGAAGAAAAGTCAAGAAAGATGAAGAAAGCTTAGGAAAACTTTCTGATACATGAAAAGAGCAAACATTTAAGTTATTGGGGCACAAGAAGGACTTGAGAATGTCAAAGAGGCAGAAAGCATAAATACAGGGCCTGGTGTGATGGCTCAATGGATAAATCCTGCTTTAAGCACCGGGAACCCATATGGGCACTGATTCTAATCCCCGCTGCTCCACTTCCCATCCAGCTCCCTGCTTGTGGCCTGGGGAAACAGTTGAGGACGGCCCAAAGCCTTGGGACCCTGCACCTGTGTGGGAGACCCAAAAGAAGCTCCTGGCTTCAGATTGCCTCAGCTCCAAGTCATTGCAGCCACCTGGGGAGTAAACCAGCAGACAGAAGATCTTTTGGGCCTGGCGCGATGGCGCAGTGGTTAAGGTCCTCGCCTTGCACGCCCGGGATCCCATATGGGTGCCGGTTCTAATCCCGGCAGCCCCGCTTCCCATCCAGCTCCCTGCTGTGGCCCAGGAAAGCAGTCAAGGACGGCCCAAAGCTTTGGGACCCTGCACCCGCGTGGGAGACCCAGAAGAGGCTCCTGGCTTCAGATCGGCATAGTATCGGCTGTTGCGCTCACTTGGGGAGTGAATCATCGGACGGAAGATCTTCTCTGTCTCTCCTCTCTGTATATTCGCCTTTCCAATAAAAATAAAATAAATCTTTTTAAAAAAAAAAAGATCTTTCTGTCTCTCCTTCTCTGTATAAATCTGACTTTCCAATCCAAATAAATACACAAATAAGTCTTTAAAAATATAAAGAAGATTCTCAAAGCTGCAAGGCAAAGAAAGAGCACACATAAAGGTGTCCCAGGCTCCGGGCTTTGGCCTGGTTGGACAAGTCCTGGATGCTATAGGCATCTGGGCAATAAACCAGGCGGGTAGAACATTCTCTGTATCAAAAGGGGCCGGCATAATGGTTCCACTGGCCAATCCTCCACCTGTAAATGTCAGGATTCCATAAGGGGGCCGTTTCCTGTCTTGGCTGTTCCACTTCCCATCCAGCTCCCTGCTTATGGCCTGAGAAAGTAGCAGAGTGGCCCAAATTCCTTGGGACCCTGCACCCGCATGGGAGACCTGGAAGAAGCTCCTGGCTCCAGATCGGCTCAGCTCCAGCCATTGGGGCCACTTGGGGAGTGAATCAGCAGACAGATCTTTTTTATCTCTCCTTCACTATAAATCTGCCTTTCCAATAAAAATAAATAAACTTTAAAAACAGAAAAAAGTGAACAACAACAACAACAGAAAACCCCTCATGACAGGTGGACATGTAGCTCCCCAGTAGCTGAGCTGCCAAATGAGACACCTGCGTCCCATCTGGGAGGGCCTGGGTTCCAGTCCCAGCCCTGCTCCTTTCCCCGCCTTCTTGCCTGCTGCTTGCCCTGGGGGATAGCAGGTGACAGCTCAAAGAGCTGGGTCCCTGTCACCCACATGGTGGCTGCATTGACTTCCAGATCTAGGCTGGCACAATCTCATTTTGTGTGGGCAATTTGGGGAGTGAACCACTGGATGCAAACTGTGTGACTGTGTGTTGTGTAATTACACTCTGTAAAACAGAAAAATAAAACAAAACACAATGAGATATCATTTTATTTAGATTGGCTATTATAAAAAAAGACAAAAACAGCAGATAGCATTGTACTATAGCAAGTTAAGCTGCCACCTGCCATACTGACAGTCTGTATGTGTGGCAGTTCATGTCCCAGTCGGCCCACTTCTGATCCAGCTCCCTGCTAATGCACTTGGAAAATGATTAGAAGATGGGCCAAGTCCTTGGGCCCCTGCCGCCCATATGGGAGACCCAGACGAAGCCCCTGCCTCCTGCCTTCAGCCTGGCCCAACCCTGGCCATTGTGGCCAATTGGAGAGTGAATGAGCAGATGGAAGATTTCTTTGTCTCCCCCTCTCTCGTCCCTCCGCCTTTTAAATAAATAAATTTTTAAAAATCTTTTTTAAAAAAAAAGATGAAAAATAACAAGTGTTAGCAAGGATATGCAGAAATGGAGTTTGGCAGGCTGTAGGTGAGGATGTAAGCTGACACGGCCACAGTGGGAAACAGTATGCAGGTTCCTCAGGAAGCTAAAACCCAACCACTGCACGATGCAGCAACCCCGCCCCGCACACAGCCCGAGAGCGAGAACGTCAGTCTGCCAGAGACATCCTCATTTCCATGTTTACTGCCACATTATTCACAATCGCAAGAAATCAAACAACCCAGGTGTCCATCCACTGATGAGTGGATAAAACAAATGGGGCCCAAAGGTGCAAATACATATATTACTCGGCTATAAAAAACCATTTTTTATAAAAAAGGCTATAAAAAAATCTCGGGTCCAGTGCTGCAGCCTAGCAGTTTAAGTCCTCGCTTTGCATGTGCCAGGATCCCAAATGGGTACTGGTTCTAATCCCGGCAGCCCCACTTCCCTTCCAGCTCCCTGCTTCTGGCCTGGGAAAGCAAGTTGAGGATGCCCCGAAGCCTTGGGACCCTGCACCCATGTGGGATACCCGAAAGAAGCTCCTGGCTCCTGGCTTTGGATCAGCTCAGCTCTGGTCATTGTGGCCACTTGGGGAGTAAAACAACGGACAGAAGACCTTCCTCTCTGTCTCTTCTCCTCTCTGTATATCTGTCTTTCCAGTAAAAATAAATCTTTACAAAAAAAAAAAAGATAGCACTTACTAAATGTGTGAATTATATCAACTACAAAATGACCAAGGAGGTAACCATTGGTATCAGCAGTCATGTTGCAGTGGACACGGGTCCCGACCTGGAACTCTAGAAACCATTCTTGCCTTCTCTGTGTTAAGATTTTTTTTTAAAGACTTATTTTATTTTTATTGGAAAGGCGAATATACAGAGAGGAGAGACAGAGAGGAAGATCTTCCGTCCGATGATTCACTCCCCAAGTGAGCGCAACGCCGATGCTATGCCGAACCGAAGCCAGGAGCCTCTTCCAGGTCTCCCACGTGGGTGCAGGGTCCCAAAGCCTTGGGCCGTCCTCGACTGCTTTCCTGGGCCACAGGCAGGGAGCTGGATGGGAAGCAGGGCTGCCGGGATTAGAACCGGCGCCCATATGGGATCCCGGGCGTGCAAGGCGAGGACCTTAACCACTGCACCATCATGTGGGGCCCTGTGTTAAGTTTTTTTGGGAAATGAAACTCACCTGGGAAATCCCAGGTAGCACTAGGACTATAGTCTGGACCCCCAACTCACAGTCTAATCGCAAAGGCTCAGCTCCCCGTGCCCGCACCCCCCCCCCCGTCCTCTGCCATCACACATGCTTCGTCTCCTCAAGCACCTCACCTCCAATTTGCGGGGCTCGGATCCTCACAGCATTGACGCTGCCCCTCAGCCGGTGGCGCATTCCCTGGGGGAGAAAGCAAGACAGTCAGGGCCTGGGGCACAGGCTGTCTTTTAAGAGACTGGAAGATCTAAGAGATGTTGAGAAGGGGTCTGAGGAGAACCCCAACATGGGAAGCCTCGGAGCGAGACTGATCAATTCTAATTCATCCATGCATTCCTTCGATCATTTAGTACATGACTACTGAGCACTTCCTACTTGCCAAGTACTATGCTATAGGTGGGGGGTACAGCGGTGACCCGGGTAGATCTGATCTCAGCTATTCCAAAGCTTACATTAGGGGAAGGCAGATCCCGGGCAAGGGTACAGTTAGAGATTCAGGCAGGCAGCACGCACTCTTGAAGAAATAGATTAAGACACCTACAATCTGGGTCTGGTGCAATAATGGCCCAGTGGCTAAATCTGCCTTGCAAATGCTGGGATCCCATGTGGGCACGGGTTCATGTCCTGGCTGCTGCACTTCCACCCAGCTTGTGGCTTGGGAAAGCAGTAGAGGATGGCCATGTCACCCTGCACCCACTTCCCAAATTCTCTGGCACCAGGCTTCAAATCAGCTTATTCAGGTAAGTTTGCCTCCAGCCGTTGCGGCCACTGGGGACGTGAACACCTCTTTATCTGTCTTCTCTCTGTAAAAGCTGCCTTTCAGGCCCAGCAGTGTGGCATAGCGGCTAAAGTCCTCGCCTTGAACGCACCAGGATCCCATATGGGCACCAGTTCTATCCCGGCAGCCCCGCTTCCCTTCCAGCTCCCTGCCTGTGGCCCGGGAAAGCAGTTGAGGACGGCCCAAAGCCTTGGGACCCTGCACCCACGTGGGAGACCTGGAAGAAGTTACTGGATCCTGGCTTCGGATCGGCGCAGCACCGGCCATTGTGGTCACTTGGGGAGTGAATCATCAGACAGAAGATCTTCCCCTCTGTCTCTCCTGCTCTCTGTATATCTGCCTTTCCAATAAATAAATAAATCTTAAAAAAAAAAAACTGCCTTTCAAATAAAAACAAATCTTAAAGGAAAAAAAAGAGCCTTTTATTGGAGTGCCTGTTTGTTCCCATTTCAGTTACTGTGGGTATTTTTTTTAAGAATTATTTATTTTTATTGGAAAGGTAGATTTTTTTAATTAAAGGTTTACTTTTTTTTATTGGAAAGTCAGAGTCACAGAGAAGGAGAGACAGAAAGATCTTCCATCCGATCCAAAGCCCAGGAGCCTCTTCTGGGTCCCCCACATGAGTGCAGGGTCCCAAGGCTTTGGGTCATTCTCCATTGCTTTTCCAAAGCACAAGGAGCTGGTTGGGAAATGGAGCAGTTGGGACATGAAGTGGCACCCGTGCGATCCTGGTGCTTGCAAGATGAGGATTTTGCCACTGAGCCATCGTGCCAGGTCCTGCTCTGTCATTGTTGTTTACTTTTAATTTATTTTATCTATTCAAAAGGGAGATAAAATGAAATAGCTCTTCTATCTGCTGGTCACTCCACAGATGGCCACAATGGCTGGCTTGGGCCACGCAGAAGCCAGGAGCCACAAACTCCAGCTGGGTCTTCCATGTGGGTGGCAGGGGCTTCATTACTCGGACCATCTTCTACTGCTCTCCAGGTGCATTGGCAGGGAGCTGGATTAGAAACGGAGCAGGTGGGAGTTGAAGCAGAGGTCTGATATGGAATCATAGTGTCATAAGCAGCTGCTGAACTCTGTGTGTCATAACACCTGCTCTTCCCAGCTCCACTTCCCGACTCCAGCCCTGAGAGGCAGCAGACGAGGGCTCACGGCACTGAGTTTCTGCCATCCCATGTAGTAGAGAGCTGGACTGAGTTACTCGCCCCCAGCTTTGGCCCAGACGGTCGCAGACACCTGGGGAGTGAGCCTAAGGATGGGAGTGCGGTCTCAGTCTGTGCCTCTCAAAGAAATAACTGAAAGCCCTGATGACAAAAGATGTCCTTTAAAGCCACCACATTTGAAGACATGGGGGGGGGGGCGGTGCGGGGAATGGGAGTCCAAGAAATAAGCAGAAATTACGTTAAACTAAAGTGATGTTCTCAACTTGAAGGCTGTGCTTCTATCAATTAAAACTCAGCTCACAGGTTGAAGAGGCAGAATTTGAATCTAAACTGTTTGGTTTTAGACGCACACATACACACTCAGGACCGGCGGGCGGGGAGAATGTTTCTTGATCACACATTTCCACCAAGGAGATTCGGTTGAGTGGAGAAAAAAAGGGACAGAGGCCAAGTTTACACTCCCCCCAGATCCAGGGGCTAGGGCTGGCACACAGTGGGTGGACAGGAGCATTCGCCTGTGACTCCCTGCAGTTTTTTAAAAAAGCACGCCATGTGGGCAAGCCTGCGCCTACCACCCCCACAGCACCCAGGACAGGCCAAGAACTCACAACTGGAGCATTGCGGAAGCCCTTGATGGCTTGGAACACTCCACCGCCGATGACACCCATGGTGAAGGCGCCCCCGCAATCGTCCACAATTCGCCATGGGCTGTAAATGGGAAGGAAAGGCTGGGGTTAATGGAAGCCCCTCCCCTGCAGGGATTCTTGGCAATTGTGAGTGAAAAGCAACAGTTCAGACAATAACGAGCCAGTTCTGTTACTTTCCTTCAGTCATAAAATCAGGAAACTGAGTAAAAGGGAAAAAAGAAAAAAAACAAAACAAAACAAACAAAATTGGCCTTCGCCCTTTTCACCCTTTGTAGGATTCCAAGGAATCAGCCGCTTGCTTTCATAGCAACTGTTAAGTGAACTGAGACGTGTAAAGATGTGATGCATTTTCTTCATGGTTCTTGGAGTTTCGAGCTAGACAGGGGGCACCTCCTTTTCGGCCAGAGAGTGCACCCAAGGAAGCCCAGCCCCTTCCCTTTTTTTAAACCAAGTATTTGCGGGGAAACCCCAGAGACCGCTGCCAAAATCCCACACAGCTTCCTCGAGTCACACAAGCGACTTGTGAAAAACCGCGCGTGGAACGCTGGAGATTTCCTTTCCAATACAGTGCGCACTCTTGATCGCACCCCGGCCCCCGTGGGTGATGATGAAATCGATTTGTGCAGCGTGTCTTGTAGCTAACAAAGAGAGACTGAGACACGAAGTCAGCGGAAACATGGCGTGGGTTCGTCCAGTAACGAAATGTTGTTAGGGGCAAACGGTTATGGGCCGCTTCTTAAAGCAGCCCAACGGCATGAGTGAGGTGTAAAGAGCTGACGGGGACAGATTTCTACTTCTCCCGAGTCTGGGAGGCAGCAGTGTGTGGCCGGGGCCTCCCCCGCCCGCCTCCCACGGCTGGCCTTGGCGCCGCCGCCGTCCCGCTGCCAGGGTGCCCATCGCCGTACCAAGGCTCCCGAGCGTACTCCTCCATGGCGCCGGCGTCGGACGGAGCAAGCAGGCCCGACTCCGCCGGGCCACGCCTCGCAGGGCAAACGCACCGCTGACGCCCGTGCTAGTAAGCCAATTCCGGCTCATTATTGGACGGTTTCAGCCGCGTCAATTCAGGGCGGCTCACATTGGTCACCCCGGATGACGTCAGTTTCGTCTGCAGTCGGAACGTTCTTCCAGGTTTGCGGGATTGACCGACGTCGATCTGCGCTTTGAGGAGTCGTCTGTGTGTTCCGGGGGAGCCGCGGCGGCGGCGCGAGGCCGTCCCACTACCTACTGTACTTTACTGGTAATGGGCGGGCGGGCGCGGCGGTGTGGAGGACGTGCCGCTCTCTGCTTCCCCCTGTTAGGGCTGTGGTCCCGCCCACCTAGCAGTGTTGAAGTAAGCTAGCGGAGCTGCTCTCTAAAGTGCAGACGGAACCGTGCTTGGCGCCTTCGCTCGTGGGAGGAGCCCAGACAGGAAGTGGATGCTAGAGCGTCGGGCCTAGTAGCAGACGGACTACTAATAGAGGACTTTTTTTGATACTAGCGTAACTCTCTCCCTTCCTCCCTCCCTCCCTTCCTCTCATCTTCCTTCCCTCCCTTTCTCCCTTTCTCATTTGCACATAGCGTCCGTCTGCGCCCCCCCCCAGTGGCGTATTTGGGACCTGCAAAGGGAAGGAGGTGCTCCCTGGATTAGTGGATCCAAATTTGAATCCTCGTCTGCCTGCCTGCTCCTAGGTGTCTCTGCTGCCAGCTATGCCGCTGCCTGTCGCGCTGCAGAATCGCTTGGCCAAGAGGGGGATCCTCAAACATCTGGAGCCTGGTAAGAGAGCTAAGAGCACATGGGTCGATTGTGTGTCAACCCTGATGGAGCACTGGGCCTCCTGGGCAGTTAGTACTGGCCTGATTCCTCATGTCTATTCCTTGTGCGGACCTCAGGCACTGCATGTATTAGCAGGTCTGTGTGTCTGTGTGTGTGCGTGTGTGTGAAAAGACAGATATTTCATCCTTCACAATACCAATGGCTGATGCAGATTTTGAGTCTAGGAATCAATCCAGAGCGTCGAATATACAGTCTAAAAGGAAGGATACGGGTCGGGTGCAGATTGCTGTTCCCTCCTGATTAGTGTGTTGCAGTGATACTGTGTTGCCATAGGAGACTCCCAGATACCTGGAAGACATGTTATGGCTTAAGAGTGTGAAGCTGTTTCAGAACCTTCATGGACAAATGTAAAGGTGGATGAAGCGGTAATGTCTGACCTGGTGGTTAATCCAGTTGTTAAGGTGCCCATGTATCACATGCAAGGGCTTGGTTTGAATTTTTAGGGAGGGCTCCCAACTCCAGCTCCTGCTAATGCAGACCCCTAAGGAACCAGCATGATGGCTCAAGTGATAGATTTTCTGCCTGACTTTCTAGACTGAATTCTTGCCTCCTAGTGCCATCTCTGTTATTCAGGGGAGTGAATCAATGGATGCCAGGGCATTGGTCCTCCACCTCCTCCCTCTCTCTGAAGTAAATGAAATTTTATTGTTTTATTAAAGATAACTGAGGTCTTAAGATTTTATTTATTTTTATTAGAAAGGCAGATTTACAGAGAGAAAGATCTTCCATCCTCTGGTTCACCCCAAGTGGCTGCAACACCCAGAGCTGAGCCAATCCAAAGCCAAGAGCCAAGAGCTTCTTCTTGGTCTCCTAAGCAGGTGCAGTGTCCCAAGGCTTTGGGCCGTCCTCAACTGCTTCCCCAGGTCACAAACGGGGAGCTGGAAGGGAGGTGGAGCATCCAGGACACAAACCAGTACCCATTTGGGAAACTGGCCCATGGAAATTGAGGATTTAGCTACCAGCTATAGTGCCAGAGCCAGTAAATAAAAAAAATTTTAAATGCAAGTCTTGTATTTTTAAAGATTTATATTTATTTGATAGGCAGAGTTACAGAGAGGAGAGACAAATGGAGAGTGTCCCATTTGCTGGTTCACTCCCGAAATAGCCTTTCTAGTTGGAGCTAGACTGATCCAAACTCAGGAGCCAGGAACCTGGAGCCTCTTCCAGGTCTTCCATGTGAGTTCAGGGTCCCAACGACTTGGACCATCCTCTGCTGCTTTCCCAGGCATATTAGCAGAGAGCTGGATAGGAAATGGATCAGCCAGGACATAAACAAGTGCCCATGTGTGATGTTGGTGTCACAGGTAGAAGTTTAGCTTATCATGTCACAGCACTGGCCCCAGTGTAAAAATATTTAAAATCAATATGAGCATGCTTTTTTTCTAAGATTAATTTATTTTTGTTGGAAAAGCAGATCTACAGAGAAGGGGAGAGAAAGAGATTTCCATCCACTGGTTCACTCACCAAGTAACTGCAATGACCTGAGCTAAGCTGATTTGGAGCCAGGAGCTTCTTCTGGGTCTCCCACACAGGTGCAGGTTCCCAAGGCTTTGGGCCGTCCTCAACTACTTTCCCAGGCCACAAGCAGGGAGCTGGCAGGGAGGTGGAGCAGTCAGGACACGAACCAGTGCCTGTATGGGATCCCGGCACATGTAAGGCAAGGATTTGCTTTTAGCTATCTCATCGGGACCGTGCATGGGTTTTTCCCAAGTTATCCATGAACCTTTTCTATGAAAAATGATAAGATTTCTTATATAGGCTGACTGTTCCTGGCCTGAATTACATGTACTAATAGGAAAGCTGGCATCTCTTTGGGACTAGGCACTGGAAACTACATCTACTGTCCCCTTACTAATCACTAATGTCTATCACAAACCTAGTGCACTAGAGGGCAGTCTTTGGCACAGCAATAAAGATATAGCTGCCTGGGATGCTCCAGTCCCACAGCTGCTCCCAGTTCCAGCTTCCTACGAATGTGCATCCTGCGAGGCAGCAGGCAATGGCTCAAGTACTTGAGTCTCTAACACGCTCCTGGGTGACATAGAATGATTTTGTCACTTTGGCCTGTTATGGGTATTTGGAAAATAAACCAGTGGGTGGTTCGTTCCCTCTCCCTGTTTCTCTGCCTCTCAAAAAAAAAAAAAAATTGAAAGTACATTAGTGGGCCAGTGCAATGGCTTAGCTGGCTAATCCTCCACTTCCAAGAGCTGGCATCCCATATGAGTACCAGTTCATGTCCCAGCTGCTCCACTTCCCATCCAGCCCCCTGCTTGTGGCCTGGGAAAGCAGTTGAGGATGCCCCAAAGCCTTGAGACCCTGCACCCACGTGGGAGACCTGGAAGAGGCTCCTGGCTCCTGGCTCCTGATCGGCTCAACTCTGGCCATTGGGGCTACTTGGGGAGTGAGCCAGTGGGTGGAAGATCTTTCTCTCTGTCTCTCCTTTCTATAAATCTCTTTCCCATAAAAATAAGTAAGTGTGTGTGTGTATTTTTTAAAGTACATTAATAATAATTTTTAAAACTAGTATGCCTGGCTTATACCTTATGGTTAATAATACTGCTGATGACTACTGGCGTTTCTTCTAAGCCGACTGAATACCTGGCCCTGTGCTCATGCTAGTGTGGTAGCAATACTGATGCTTATAGCCCACATCTATCTTGAGTCTACAGTGCAACAGTTTCTATGCTGTTGCTGACATACTCATTACAATATATACTTTCAAAAGATTTACTTATTTGAAAGGCAGAGTTACATAAAGGAAAATCTTCTGTCCACTGGTTTATTTCTCAAGTGGCTGTAGTGGCTGGAGCTGAGCTGGCCCAAAGCCAGGAGCCAGGAATGTCTTTTGGGTCTCCCATGTGAGTGCAGGAGCCCAAAGACTTGAGTCATCTGCTGCTGCTTTCCCAGGTACATTAGCACGGAGCTGGATCAGAAGTGGAACAGCCAGGACTTAAAGCAGTACACTAGATGTTGTGTATCTGGGATGCTGGCGTTGCAGCTAGGATATTTACCCACTGTGTCACAGTGCCAGCCTTCGTTTTAAATGGAGTCACAAGCTGAAATCTATTAGAGCTTTACTGAGGGACAGGCACTGAGATGATTGATATCTTTAAAAAAGACTTGTTATTTGTCAAGATTAATTAAACACAATGAAAAGATGCTTAACAGAAAAATGTTTTATTAATCTACACTGTCGTCATCATCCACACTTTGAGGATGATACACTTTAAGAATACACAGACTTTTATACCCCCAAAACTCTAGGTGTCACACAAGCTTTCATTAATCCTTTTCTTGTGTGAAGCTAGCAGTTCTTAGAATAGTTTTTCTTATATTAGCAAAACTTAAAAGAAGTAAGGGAGATGATAGTAACACAGAGTCTTGGTATGCTTTGGTCCATTATTTACAACTCAAGGAAAATAAGAAAAGATAGTATTGAGGCCAGGGGCACTCTGTTCTGTTATTTGTAACTGGAGAGAGACTCAAAGGAAAGATAGCACTGGGAGTTTGGTCTTCTGCTTGGTATTCCCAGGTTAGTCACAAACCCAGGTGTTCCTAGCCTGTGATTAGCTCCTTCAGTTATTTATTTGACTTAAAGAGATGGAGATATCCTTGATCCACTGGTTCACTTCCCAAACAGTTCCAGCAGCTGGGGCTGGGCCAGGCTAGTCCAGAGCCAGGAATTTCATCTGGGTTTCCCATGTGGCACAGGGGCCCAGGCACTTTGGGCCATCTTCTACTGCTTTTTGAAAAACTAGGACATGAACCACTGCCAATATGGGATGTCAGGATGTCAGTGTCGGCAGCTCTGGGCACTACGACACAACACAGACACTTTGTTTTTGTATTGTCCTGATATTATACCTGCCGTGGGGTTGATTTTCAGGCCTCAAGAACTTAATCAGGTTTTTTTTTTCTTTTTTTAAAGATTTGTTTTTATTGGAAAGGCAGATTGCATAGAGAAGAAGAGACAGAAAAACCTTCCATCCACTGGTTCATTCCCCAAGTGGCCAAAATAGCAGTTCTTAGCTGATCCAAAGCCAGGAGCCAGGAGCTTCTTCTGGGTCTCCCACGTAGACGTGGACACAGGGTCCCAAGGCTTTGGACCATCTTGTACTACTTTTCCAGGCCACAAGCAGGGAGCTGGATGGGAAGTGGAGCAGCCGGGACACAAACCGGCACCCATATGGGATCCCGGTTCTTGCAAGGAAAGAATTTAACCACTGAGCCATCGTGCCGGGCCCAATCAGTTTTTCTTAAAGATTTATTTGAAAGGCAGAGTGATGAGAGAGTGAATGTGTGCTTTGATCTGCTGGTTCAGATCGCCACAGCTGAGCCAAGTCAAAGCCTGGAACCTGGAACTCCATGTTGGCGTGCCACCTGGGTGCAGCGGGCCAAGTACTCAAAGCTGTCTTGTGCTGCCTTCCCAGGCACGTTAGCAGGGCGCCTCATCAGAAGCAGAGCAGCGGGGATGAGAACCAGTGCTGTCATGGTCGGTTTGGTTCTCAAGCTGCAGTGTATCCCCGTGTACCTCAATACCAGCCCTGGAAATGAATGGACTCGAAACTGTTCAGAGTGCTCTCCACACTCTGCCACTCCGTGTACAACATTCAGCCCTGTAATCCTGCAGACGAAAATAGGAGTAGATGACCTATTTTCAAATTAAACCACTTGCTCTTTTTTTACAACAGATTCTTTTTTTTTTTTTAAGATTTATTTATTTTTGTTGGAAAGGCAAATTTTCAGAGAGAAGGAGATACAGAGGTCTTCCATGTGCTGGTTCTCTCCCCAGGTGGCCGCAACGGCCAGTACTGAGTTCATCCGAAGCCAGGAGCTAGGGGCTTCTTCCAGGTCTCCCACATGGGTACAGAGTCCCAAAGCTTTGGCCCATCCTGTGCTATTTTACCAGGCCATAAGCAGGGAGCTTAATGGGAAGTAGAACAGTTAGGATATGAATCATTGCCCATATGGGATGCTGGCACCACAAGTTGAGAATTAGCCCATGGAGCTATGCTGCTAGCCCCAAACTCTTTGCTATTGAAGCTCACTTTATCCAAATAGATTTGGAGAGCTGATTGTCACATAGTGTCAACTCAGGAGAACTGTATTTTGGAATCCTTATGAAGTCTGAAGCCAGATGGGTTTGGTAACAATGTAACTCATCATCTGAACCCAGAAACATTGACTTAGGTAGATAAATGTCCGGGTCAGTTTTCTAATGCAAAGAGTTGGGTTTGAAATGCAAGTGATCCTTCACACGTCTCCTGACGCGCACATGTGTCTTCCATGTGTGGTTTGTGTGAACGTGAACACGCCTGTCTCCCAAGGCTGAGTGCATCCTGAGCATGTCCCCGGTCTTACCTGCTCTCTCTGCTCTGCTCTTCTCCCTTGTTCTGCTAGAACCAGAGGAAGAGATCATTGCTGAGGACTATGATGATGACCCTGTGGACTATGAGGCCACGCGGTTAGAGGGCCTGCCACCAAGCTGGTACAAGGTGTTTGACCCATCATGGTGAGCCTGAGACCTCGGGGACAGGGCTGACTTCCGGCTTTCCCCTTTCTGTGCTGTCCCTGGCTGTGGGATGCCCAGGGAAGAGCTGTAGAGGCACTTCCCGAGGGGTCTCGACCTGGGGCCGGAGTAGGCAGAGGCTGGGGAGGAGTCGAGGACACCAGGAGAGAAAACCTATGCTGACGCTCCTTCCCTCTCACTGCACCCCACCCCCAGCGGTCTCCCTTACTACTGGAACGTGGACACAGACCTCGTGTCCTGGCTCTCCCCACATGACCCCAACTCCATCGTTACCAAATCTGCCAAGAAGCTCAGGAGCAGTAACACAGGTGAGCTGGCAGAACAAAGGGTCCCTCCAGTGCTCCTAGCATTTCTTCTGACTGGCCGAGTGAAGGACAGAGCCTTGGTCAAGAAGGGGCAAATGAGGCTGTGAAACTCACAGGCTGCTGAGTCCTGGGGTGGCAGAAGGTGATTTCAAGACTTTCGCGTCCCAGGGGAAATGGTGTTGTAGCACAGCAAAATAAGCCAATGCCTGCGACACCTGTTCAGTCCCAGCTGCTCTGCTTCTGATCGTGCTTCCTGCTAATGTGCCCTGGAGGGCAACTGAAGATAGCCCATGTGCTTGGGCCCCTGCATCCATGTGGGAGACTCGGATGAAGCTCCCGATTCCTGGCTCCGGCCTGGCTAGGCCCAGCCCAGCCCCAGCCATTGCATCCTTTTCGGAAATGACGCAACTGATGGAAGCACTCTCTCTCCTCCCCCTTCTTCCCACCCCTCCCCCTCTCTAATTCCACTTTCCAAATAGATAAATAATTTTTTTCTTAAAAAAAAGACTTTTATATTCCCAGATACTGAAGAGAAGCTAGACCGGGCCCACGAAAAGTCAGACCGGGGCCATGAGAAACAAGATCGCAGCCACGACAAGTCTGACAGGGATCGAGAGCGTGGCTATGACAAAGTGGACAGAGATCGGGAGCGGGATCGCGACCGTGACCGTGGATATGACAAGGCAGATCGGGACGAGGGCAAGGAGCGGCGTCACCATCGCCGGGAGGAGCTAGCTCCTTATCCCAAGAGCAAGAAGGGTAAGCTGGGCAGGCCCAGACGGCTTTCACAAGTGATGCTCCGTGCAAGGGTATCTACCCCACAAGTATGTACCTGAGCCCAGGGTCCCAGAGTGGGACGCCACAGTACATGGCAGCCACATAGTCCATCTTCTCCTGGACTGGGCTGCGGCTTCTTGAGGATCAGGGGCTCCCTGTGCCCCCACTGAAGACCCGACCCTGCCACTTATTTCCACAGCAGCAAGCCGCAAGGATGAGGAGTTAGACCCCATGGACCCCAGCTCGTACTCAGATGCACCTCGGTAACTGGCGCTGGACACCCCCTGCTTTTCTGACACCTGTTACTCCCAATGAACATCTTTCCCCTCCCTCTCCCCCTTGCCCCCCAATTCTCATCCTGGCTTTTCTGTCACCCCTAGGGGCACTTGGTCAACAGGACTCCCCAAGCGAAATGAGGCAAAGACGGGGGCGGACACGACAGCTGCAGGACCACTCTTCCAGCAGCGCCCATACCCATCCCCGGGGGCTGTGCTGCGGGCCAATGCCGAGGCCTCACGAACCAAGCAGCAGGACTGAGCACGGGCGGCCAGGGTGGCGGGAAGGGGGTGGGGGAGGCAGGGTGTGTGCAGTAAACGCTTCATTAAAGCTCATCTTAAGATCTTGCATACAAGGGTTCAGTACTTCCTTACCTTGCTCTTTTGACCCATGCCTATGACGCAAAGCACATTTTATTTGCAAAAAGTCACCTAAGAAAATATTATGGTGTTGGGGTGGGGGGTAGGAGGACAGGGCTTTGGCAGGGGGTGGGTGGCGACCAAGGTGAGTCATTAACACAGAGAGCTCAGTCCAGCAAGCTCTGTGTGGGGGAGGGACAAGGAGTTCTATGTCTGCCTCTCCCTACCCCTGACACTGCTCAGAGTCTGGTCCCGGACGGGCCAGGGCAAGAAGGGAGAACCAGGCCAGGCCAACCAACGTCTTCAATGCCGGAGGCTACGAACCCTTCACTTTGGTGAGCAACCTGTGGTGGGGGTAGGGAGGAAAGAGAAACGGAAAAGGCTGGGGTGGGCTGGCAGGAGGGTCTCTTGAGCAAGCAAGGGCGGCAGGAGTGAGGCTGGTAATCCCAGGGTTAGTATGGTGCTTAGGCCGAGACAGCGGGCAGGGTTGGGGTGGCGGTCAGAAAGCTACACATGGACTAAATAAATACAACATCTTTATTTGGCATTGGGTAGCCTGGTATTTTTTTTCCATCACAGTTCCTTAGAAAACAAACAAATCAGACAAATTAATCAAAAATAAAGATCCAATGGCCATATTTACAAATAGCGGAGCCAGCCCAGGGGTGGGGAGGGGGGGCAGGGATCTCCGTGCGTGCACTCACACCTCCCCTCCCTGGCCCAGGACATGGTTAAGGGGTTAATAAGCTTTGGGGAGTGCCGGGAGCAGGTTCCACAGGGCATGGAGTCCAAGTCCTCCTCCCCCAAGGAGTGAGGGTACCCAGAGGATGGCTGTGGCCTTTCTTTGTCCTCTCTGGATATCAGAAAATGACCCTGCTTCCATCAACTGACAGTGTCCTCAAGATGGATTCGGCCACTTCCAGAGGACCCCCCCCCCCCCCCCCCGCTTTCCCACACCTTGCATCCTTAATTGGCCTCATTACACCAGAAATCCCGAGCCTGCTGCAAAATAAGTGGCCCTCCTGTACTCTGTCACAAGATAGGCTGATAGAAAAATCAGCTTTTGCCTCTTGCCTGCTCCATGGACCCTCAAAGGTCAGGGAAGGCCACACACATAAAGGCCAGAGGGGCTTCTGATGGGGGTCCGGGGAAGGGAGAGAAGGCCTCTAATGATGAGAAATTGAACCCCACAGGACAGATCTTAGAGCTGCACGTTGTCAGTCTGTCCTTACAGCTGCAGAGGGACAGCTGGGAGGGACTCCCCAGGACACCTTCAGCAGAGGGGAACAGGATAAAAAAAGGCCTTGAACAACACTCCCAACCCTGTCCTCCAAAAACGTGACAGTGGGGCAGAGGCAGCAGCTCTAAAATCCCCTCCAGCAGAGGGGTGCGGCCGAGCAGGAAGGGTTCACGTGACACCTGGCACCCCTTGGGAAGTCTCAACGACCTGGGAGGAAAGACCAAGGTGTTCCAAACCCAGTGGAGCCAGGCCCTGGGGGTAACTGGGGTGCTGCAGATGCCCGATGCCCTCCACCGCGGTCCCCCTCCCTGGCCTCCCCACCACTGGCAGTCCTCACTTCACCAGCACTGACTTGGGCAGAAAGGGCTCCGTGATGAGGTCTCCGCGGTGGGAAGACAGCTGTGGTGGTGGCGGCTGCCCTGGAGGCTGCTGGTGAATGCAGGGCCCGGAGGCCGAGGAAGAAGGGGAGGAGGAGGAGGCAGAAGCTATGGCTTTGGTTGTACCTCGGGGCAGGCTGTAGAGGTAGACGGCACCGATGACCAATCCAGCGCCAAGGGCAAATAATGGGTCCAGTTGGAAGCCAAAGAGGCGAATGGAGGCAACAGTGGACAACACAATGGACAGGGAGGTGGCAAAGCCCTTGAGGATGTTGTCAGCGTACTTGACAACAACAGCCACCAGGAGCCCGCCAAAGGCCTGGTTGAGTACCACACCCCAGACAGCAGGTGTGTACCCAAAGAAGAAGCCAAAACGTGCCACTGCAGTGCCCTCAGCCCACCAGAGCCCCACCAGGCCCAGGGCTGTGCCAAAAAGGCCCAGCTGCAGGTTGCGCAACCACACAGATCCTGAGCTGCCTTTGAGGATCTTCTCAAAGTAGACGCCTGCGAAGCCCGAGGAGAGACAGGAGGCTACAACAGCTGCTAGGCCTGCCCCGGGGTTCTGATCCAGGGGCCGTGGGCCGCCCCCACCAGCCTGTTGTGCCTGGACGATGGCCACACCAGTGAAGAGGAGCAGCAGGGAGGCCCACTGCAGCCGGGAGAGGCTGCGGTTCAGCATGAGCACTGAGAACAGCGCCGTAGTCAGGATCTTCAGCTGGTACGTCACCTGCATGGCACGTGCAAGGCAGACACTGAGGACTGGCCTCGATCTGTCGCAGACAGCACCCACTAGAAGTCTACTGTGTGCAATGGAGGGATGGGGTGGGGTAGAGGGCAGCAAAAATAGCACAGAGAGCCAGCAACTGGCTAGGTTGTCACTAAAAATCAGTTCCGAGGACCCTTCTCAAAAGTGCATGGAAGAAGGGTGACTGGGCCAGAACAAAGTACCACACCATGCCCAAGCCCATGGTCCCAATCCCTGCTCCTGGCTGTGTAACCAGGGACGAAGCACTTGCCCCCATCTAAATATCTGTAACTAATCAACCAACAGGGCTCACAAGAGGTGCTGGCTAAATGGCAGGCTTTATGGAGGAGGAGAGGTCTTGGTGCCAATGAATCAACCAGAACACTAACGTCAGGAGATGTTTACACCGTGTGCCCATGTGGGTGTAAGCACTTTATCATTCATTTAATCTTCACAGCCACCATCTGCAGTGGGCCGCACTGTAACTCCCCAGTTTCAAGATGAGAAAATGTTAGGTGACTCACCCAAAAGTCATGCAGCTGTGAAACAGCAGAGCTGAGATTAGAATCTGGGCACTGTAACTCTGTTGCTAGGATGCCTAGGAACAGCCTGCACCTTTGCCAAGCAGCAGCTGGCCGAGAGCTCCTCCTACCTAGTCCTGATGCTCCAGGCTTCTACTCCTGAGGACCCCTGGGCTAGGGGAATGTCAAGGTCTCAGCAGCTCTTGCCACTGCCACCCTTTGCCCCCAAGCCCAGGAAGTCCCTGTGCAGCCATGCTGGACTTGGAACTCACCTGGAAGGTGGCTGCTGGGAGGTTGGAGATGGCAACGTACTGGAGGTTATTCTGCAGAGTGTAGATGAGGGAGGGGACCGCTAGCTTGAGCGTGTCCACGTACTGCACCAGGACGGCCTCGTGGAGGAAGAGAATCAGGTGCTTCACATTACCTAGGCGGCAGGAGGAGGGGCCTCTGGTGAAGCAGCGACTGCTCAGCAGAATACCCGGTGGGTTGGGAGCAGACCTGCCGCCCTGGGTGCTGGGGTAACATTTGTGCTCAGTGAGCCCTTCTAATAGTCAAGGTAATGAGCCCAAAAGAAACAGCCAGGGCAAGCATCGAGCCTGGTGCCTAAGCTCTGGGTATACACCCAGCTCCACTCCTGACTTCAGCTTCCTGCTCATGCACACCCTAGGAGGCAGCAGGTGATGGCTTAAGCAGTTGGCTTCCTGCCACCCCCCTGGGAGACCTGGATTGGGTTCCTGGCCCAGTCCTAGCTGCCGCAGGCATTTGGGGACTGAAGCAGCAGATAGGAGGTCTGTTTTTGTCTCTCTGCCTCTGAAATAAATATTTAAAATGACAGCAACAATAACAGACCATACTTATCTCACAGCCCAACTCCCTGGCACAGAGCCCTATTCATGGCAAGCCTATGCTGTACAATGGAAATATTCATCATTGCCTAGAAGTAGATGCTAAGGCCGGGAGATTCAGATTAGTCTTTTGTCCTAGCTGCCTACTGGCCTGTGGGCAGCCTTAGGACGGGGCTGTCTCTTACTCAGTCCCACCCGTCGGGCCCAGCCATGCCAAGCAGTTGCCTCGGAATTCAAGTCCGAGACAAAGCTGAAGTCTGACTTGGACCACTCCCTTCCCGTGCATCATGGCCTTTGCAAAGCTCAACCTGGGTTTCTAGAAGGCTCAACTGCCATCTTGTTTGGGGGAAAAACCTCAAGAGCCACTGCGCTGCTTATCCCAGCAACGCCCCCCGGGGCTTGCTCGCTCAAACCTGTCCTTGCCCTCCACGGCAGTAACCCCAGGGTAGCGCCGCGGCGTTCACCTCTATGCTTTAGCATGCAAGGCCTTCACGGAGAAGCAGCTGCACAACGTATCCAAGTCAGAGGGCCTTCCTGTTTGGGTGAGGAGATGAGCCCAACTCCCAACTCAAACACAGAACACACTGAATGACAGCCAACGGAGGCAGTCGGCAACATGCAGGTTATCCAAAGTCTACAGGACAAATGAGCTCATTTCTTCAAAGAGAGAAAAACAAAAGGGGGAAGGGAAGTAGAGGGAAACCCAGAGATGAAACTTAGAAGGAACAGCTGGTTAGAAAACATTGATCATATACAAACCAGTATTTCAAGACTATGGCCTTTAAGAGATCGTCACCATTTGCACACTGCCTGGATACTGGATTATCTTACTATTTTCCAAATTACAGAGGTATGACTCCTAGCTCTTTATAGTTACTGTTAAAAGTATATGCACCAAAATACTCAAATCAATCTGTAAGGGGGTGGTTACTTCAGGATAAGGGAACATGTGGACAAGAGCTAGAGGACAGCAGTGAGTGGGCAATCGGGCCTGCTGCTTGGGCGGCAGGGCAGCTGTGAGCTGAGAGTTGTTGCCTCTCTTCCTACTTGGCTGTTCTCCTTAACGTGCTACATGCTTGGAAGTCTTGGCGATGAAACACTAGAAATCCACAAGTCATCCCATTTTGTGGAGGCACAGACTCACCCCCCCCCTCCCCAATGCCTGCAGTCCAGTGCCCAGGCTGCCAGGCATGGCAGAGCACAGAAGCAGCTGCTCTCAGGAAGCTTGGCTGGCACAGCCCAGGGGCAGGCTCCCGGCCATACATGGAGCTCCTCCCCCCTGCGCCATAACTGCTCCAGGTAAGGGCATACACGTGTGTACACACACACACACACACATTTTCGCTTGAACTCCCTCCCTTGTATACTTCCCCCCAAATTCCGGGTTCGGGTGGCCTCCCGAGATCATACCCCTCTTCTGTGCGAAGAGCAGCAGCAGGCAGGTGAGGCCCTTGAGCACTTCCGCCATGACCACCGCAGTGGTGGCAAAGAAACGGTCCCCGGGCAACGTGCGGGCGTAGCGGATGCTGAGGATGAGGGAGGCGTTCTGGACCACCAGCACAGCTAGGGATATGTACTTGAGGCGTCTGTGGGCTGTGAGGAGATGGCACAGGGCAAACGGGGAAGGATAAGGTGAGAACCTGTTGGGGCACAGTCCCACAGCAGAACCACCCCCCCGACCCATGCACCCCACCCATCCACCCCGTGTCTTTGCTCAATCCCCATTCTCCTCATCTCCACCATGGTCACATTATTTCCCCCCTATTATTTTCCTCGCACCCAGAACTCTTGCCAACTCCTCCTTGCTATGACTGATTCTTACTAACTCAAAACAGTGTAACAAATAGGAAAGGAAAAAAAAAAAAAAAGATTGCTCCACTGCTCCAAAGACTGAATGAATGGATGGTCTACTAGGTAAGGACAAGTTTCCGTTCAGTGCCGTGGACCACCCTTCCAGCCCCACACAGTACCGCCTCTCCAGCCCTCTTGCTCCCCCCATGCACAATGAACTCTCTTTGACAGGAGGAAGAGAAAGCCTGGGCGGGCCCTCCCACCTGCACATACAATGGCCTACTTTCATTTGGAAGGAGGGGCCCACAGACCCAGCCTTTCCTCCACACAACTGCAGGATGAGCCTATTCCCAACATAGATCCGCCATTCCTATAAGGAAGGCCCTGCCCCACCCTGCCAATTTACAAGGTCCCTAGCGGGGAGGAGCCTCCGGTTGGGCAAAGAGTTTCTACCTGCTACCAGGAAGAACACCAACGCCCTTGGAGCGCTCCCTCCCTTGCAGAAGCAACGGCTGCACACACACACACATACACTCACTCACTCCCAAATGCTCCCATCTCCCCCGAAGCAAACACCCTGCAGCCTCACAACGGTCCCTTCTCTACAGAGACGGAAGGACTCCCCAGTCAGCCCGAGAATGGGCTCTTCCCCGCGCCCCACCCACGCACAATGGGCTTCTCCGTCCTCCCTCCCCCTGCAAACACCCTCCTCCACACGCGCGCGCGCGCACACACACACACACACACACACACACAGACACGTCAGTCCACGCGGAATGCTCCGTCCCACTTCAGGTCTCCCCAAACCCCACCCCGGAGAGCCTGACCCCCGCCCCGCCTACTGCTTGGCCGCAGCCTGTCTCACCGGCACTCGCGGTTCCAGATGCCAACGACCCCGCAGAGACCGCCCCCGGTCCGGCTGCTGCGCTGGCACCGCTAACCCCAACCGCTGCCATGTTGGCATCTGCCCGGCCCCTCGGCAACAGCAGGTCACTTCCGCGTCCGTAGCTTCCGCCTCCGGGGTCGCCGGAGTGGGAATAAGGCAAGAGTATGGTGCACCGTCAGGATGAGATCTTGCTTCGTCCCTTCCCCAAGGCTGAGTTTCAGAAAATAGGCCAGGAATCTTCCGACTCCCTCCGCGCCGGCCCGGAAAGCGAGCACGCCTCGGCCAATTTGGCCCCCAGCTGTCTTTCCAGCAACCCCTAAGGCGCCAGCCCGCTGCCAGAACCGCCCTCACCTTCCCCTCCCGGTTCGTCCCTTTCATTAATCCTCTTCCCACAGGGCCCGCCCACCCTGCCTCCTGCTTTCATTGGCTCAGCCCTTGTCGCTCTGGGTTAAACCTGTTTCAGGTGGCTCCGCCCTTGGGCGTCAGAAACTCCCACCCAGGTCCTTCCTAATCCGGGCGGAAGTTCCTCTTTCCTTCTCCCTGGCATCGTGAAGGGGCGCTGGGCAGGTGAGGTGTACGGAGAGGGTCACCACGTGGGGCAAGGGACCGTCCTTGCCAAGTCAGGCGCAGCTAGAACTGCGAGGGCAGCGGGGACAGAAGCTTGCGTCTCCGTGGAGGATGGGGGAGAAATAAGGGCGCCAGGAGACGGTTCCCGTGCTAGTTGCCCTTGCAAAACGGAGCAGGAGACGGCCAGCTCGAGGTCCACGGAAGAGAAAGCAGGATGCACTGTGGGGTAGGGCAAGTTAACTTAAGGTGACGGAAACGCAAGGGCAAATATAGGTGACTGCACCCTGGGCATTCTTAGCCAACCAGAAGAGCTAGATTTGCGAGTCAGCATACAGCCTCGCCCTCAACCTCATCAACCCAGAAAAGGGCATTTTGCCATCAGGGAAGAAAGCCCTTCCTTTCCCAGGAGTGCAGGTGGAAATTCTGCCATCTTATATTGAAAACAGGAACTGCAACACTTGGATGCCACATTATGCAATCATTCCATCAAAGTTCCCTCCGGCTCCCCATCCGCTCAGCGCACAGTTGATGTCCCCCCACACACAGCTGTCCACACATGGCCAGGCACTTTGGAGTGTTACTTTTATTAAATAGTGAGTTTCCACACATGGCTTCTTCTTTAAATAATTCAGGCGGTGGTGTGAGGTGGGGGGGGGGACAAAAGGGAGGAGGGCACACTTGCAGCTCCCCAACCCCCCCCATACCCAAGTATTTACATTTTAGCAGTTGGATAATCCTGGCTCAGAAGGAGGCAGCGCACGAGAAAATCTGCGGGACATTGGAGAGGGTGCCCCAGGAGAACAAGCGGCCAGACTCATTTCCCCTCAGCCCATCTCCCAAACCATCTGCCCCAACCTCGCCTCCGGTGCTGTCCCATGCTGTCCCAGCTCCCTTCCTCCACAGATCCTGGGACTTGGTTCTTCTCACCAGAATAAGAGCACTTGGGAGAACAAAGTAGGGTCCCATCGCCAACAAAGGAAAAGCAAAAGCAAAAGGGGGAGGGGAAGAAAAACACGAGCCCTGGGACAGCAATAGGGCATCACCTCCCTCAGAATCAGCAATCCAGTGCTGAGGTAGCTGTGCAGCTGGACTGAACGGAGGACCCTAGGCTGGGGAGAGGGTCGCTCGGTGCAAATGAAGAGCTGCTGGGGCACTAGAAGGAAAAGCACCCTTGCATCGGCACTGTGTTGTGTGGATGGCAGGAGCAGGAGATGTCACTAGAGGGCTCACGACTCACTACGACACTGGGTCCTGGGGCTCACAATGGAAGTGAACTTCAACCCAATCAACATCCCTAGCAAAAAAAAAAAAATTAATAATAAAGCAAGGGAAGGCAAGTCCCTCCCTTCAGAACAAGGGGCAGGGGGCTGTCAGGAGGAAAAGCTCCCTCTCGGGGGCGGGGGGGACAGGGTAGGGTCTGCGCAGACTTTGCTTGTTTTCTGACACCCCCCGGGGGGGGACGGCTTTTGCGACCTTAGCAACACTGGATTGTTGGTGACCTGTAAAACCAGATCAGCAGATGTCTGTGGATCCCTATGGCATAGCCTTGGGATGGCTGTTAGGATCATTTTGGGGAGGAGATGGGGGGTATAGAGAGGGAGCTGAACGTGGAAGGCAGAAGGGAGGGGAGGTTGGCCAGACCTAGGGCAGCAGGGACCAGGCCAAAGGAGTGGGACCTCCTTTTGGGGGGTTCAGGGGCGCTTCTTCAGCTGGGGTTTGCATCCAGGGGTCCAGCAGGATCTCTTCCAGCGAGGGTCGGGAAGAGGGCTTAGCAGCCAGGCACCGGCGGATCAAAGCGCAGCAGTCTGCAGGTGAATAGGCACAGTGGGAAATGAGCAGTTGGTAGGGCAGGCCTTGGGGGGGGCGGGTAGGGAGGGAAAGGCACCTGCTCACCGAGCGCCTCACCTGGGGAGACATGCGCCGGGAAGTGGAGCTCAGCCTCCAGAATCTCCTGGTCCCTCTCAAAAGGGATGTCCCCACACACCATGTCGTACAGGAGGATACCCAGGGACCAGACAGTGGCTGGGAGTGCATGGTACTGGTGTCGCGAGATCCACTCAGGTGGGCTGTACACCCTTGTCCCTGCAAACAAGCCCGGGAAGGGTGGGGGGGGGGGGAGAAGTCAGATCTTCTTTGCCCACCAGGAACAGGGAACACCCCTCTCAGTTCAGTGTCCCCTCATTAGAATAGTAGCTCTTTATCAAGATCCCAGCATCAAACAGCAGCACCTAAGACAACAGTATCAACAGTATCACTCTAGCAGCATAAGCCCCCTGCCCCTCCCCTCAATAGGATTAAGGCACACTGTTACAACATGGAATTTACCCAAGGAAATCCTGTATTAGAAATCAAGAAGCTTACAAAGGACTGCAAGAAGAGCATAAAGAGAAATAACTTCCCCTGCCCCTCCCCAGCAGCATTCCAAGGCAGCCTCACCATCGAAGTCAGTGTAGGGTTCATCATGAAGCAGGGCACCCGAGCCAAAATCAATGAGTTTGGCACAGCCACGGCAGAGGTCTATCAGGATGTTCTCGTCCTTGATATCACGATGCACAACTCCACGGGCATGGCAGTGCTGGACAGCTGCCACGACCTGGCCAAACAAGCTGCGGCTTCGGCCTTCCCCCAGTGGGCCCTTCTCCGTGATGTAGTCAAAGAGATCCTGGGCCGGTAGGGGCCGCTCGAGGACCAGCATGAAGCCCTCTGGTGTCTCAAACCAGTCAAGCAGGCGGATGACACCAGGGTGCCCACCACCTGCGCACACTTTCCACAGCAGAGCCACTTCCAGTGGGCATGAAACAGAGTCTGTCTGCAGGTGGACATGGGGTGGAAAGCAGAGAGAAAGCAGACGTCAGACCTGCTGCTCTGAGGGCCACCAACTTCCCACCTAACTTCCAATCACAGCCTTGGGCTTTAGAAAATGGCTGTGAACAACCCATTGATCCAACAGGGCAGTGGGCTTAAACTCCCACAAGCCATTGGAAGAAGCCCATGTACATTTGGCAGCTCAGAGGAGCTCAGCAAATACTTGAATAAAAACTAACACTTGGGGCCAGTGTGGTGGTGCAGCACGTTATCTTTCTATTTGTGATGTTGCTATCCCATCCAGCTCCCCGCTTTCCCTGGGAAAGCAGTCGAGGACGGCCCAGAGCCTTGGGACCCTGCGCCTGCATGGGAGACCCAGAAGAAGCTCCTGATCGGCTCAGCTCTGGCTGTTGTGGCCAGTGGGGAGTGAACCAGTGGGTGTACAACATTTGCTTGTGTCTCCTGTCTTGAATACGCTTTGAAATTTTCTTTTAAATAAATTGTTCCTAAGAAGGTAATATTTTACCTATTGTGTTCCTTGACATTATCTGAAGTTATTACAAGAGTACCTTCCACACTGTAGCTGCTCGGTAAATGTTCAACAGATGAATGCACTTTATAACACCGGGTCTGACATTAAGTTACCATGCAAGAAATAGTGTTTGTTTTCTGGCATACCTCAAACATCAGAACACTAACTGGTTAACAGGGTAGGGCTCCATAAATAATGTTATAGTATGTGAAATTTTTGATAGAAAAGCTTAACAAAAGGAGCGCTCAATATTATGTACTATTTTGCCAAGAGCCTAGAATTGTGCTTGCTATACAGTAGGTATTCAACAATTTGCTAAATAGCTGAAAGTGGTTAATCCCAAAGGGCCTGGTAAAGAGCCTCAGAACTGTGATCATGTGATATTTACCCAGTCACCAAAAACCCAGAAATACTCAAGAACAGGCATAAATGTTAACTGGCCACAAAAAGCCCACCCAGAAACTGCCTGCAAGCGCGGTGATGGTGCGCAGCAGCCATCCTTTCCCGGTGGTGGTGCCCTCTGCCGGCCAGGCCCGCAGACGTGCATTCTCACGGTAATGCAAAAGTCCACTAGCGCGCAGGCGCACCCTCTCCCTCTCCCTCTGGGTCCCACGGGCTGCGCAGGCGCAGTCTCCCTCTGTGTCCACCAGAGGGCGCTCCCATCTCCACAACTTGTCTAGATCCGCCCAGATGTCCGTTAGCGCTCAAAAGGCAGGAGAGAAGCAGCCACCATCACCATGGCAACCAGTGACCTCTGCCCTTCTTTCCCCAGCAGCATGCCCTGCGGGCAACCCTCGAGGCAATGTTTGGAAGGAACCTAAGAAAGGAGTGGGAGAGGAGAATCCGGGGCTCTACAGGGAACGGGGTGACTAAGAACAGTGCATCACCCTATGGGAGTAAACATGGGTTGATAGAGGTGTTCTCTTCACCGTTACAGGGCGCAGGGAGCAATACATGCCTCCCCTTCTGGAAAAAGACCAGGGAGTAAGAGTTCACCAGTGATGGAGTGGATAGGTCAGGAAGTACCAAAGATACTTACCAAGGGGGACCATCCCAACACGCGATTCCGCGGGATCACTTTGATGGCCACCTGGAGAAGAGGGCCGGCAGATGATCCCCATGTCCCTCCCAATCAGGTATCTTCTGCCCACCTCCGTGGCCCTGCACTAGGCAGCACCCCCGTCTTTTTGGCCACCAACTAGAGTACAGCACAATCACAATAAGCTGGGGCTTTGCCCCCTACCTGCCAGGTCTCCAGCGCCAAGTTCACCTCTCCCACCATCCTTAGCCCCGGGGATCTTCCTGCTTAAGGCGTCGGGACCCCTCATTCTAGGTCTTGCGTTCTATATTTCCTAATCTCCCTACCCAGGGCCAAGACACCACAACTCTGTGCCGGGGTCCTGGTGCCGTCACGACTGCACACTAGACACCTATGTCTAATATCACCAATAGCTCGGTTCTAGGTACTCTACGTTCCAACATACATGTTCCCTGGATCATGGAGTCTAGAGTCCTCAGGACACCCTCTTCCCAGCCTAATTCCTGGACATCCAAAATCCCGGCAATGAAAACCATTACCAACAACCTCCCCATTCCCCCGACACAGCCACCTGGATACACACACATCCTTGCAACCCGGATCCTGATGCTCACCATCCTACCGCACACATTGCGGGCTTCTTCCCCACATACGCGACCCTCCCCAGACCCTCATGGCGAATACCTGGAGTCGATCTGTGACGCGATGTCCCGCGAAGACCGTGCCAAATCCCCCCTTACCCAAGAGGGGGCCAAGTCGGTATTCGGCCTCGAACGCTTCCCGATCCTTGCCTCCTACGCAAGCGGAGGCGAGGAAAGTCAGGGTGGCGGCGTGCTGAGCCCGTCCGCGACTCCCACCTCCCAGGGACCACCAACCACTATTCTAGGCCCACCCCAACCTGGTCGCGACAGAAGAGGCTGCGCTCACCTGGCGGCGGCGTGGGGGTCACCGGGGGCGCGGGGAGCCCCTGCAGAGGTTTGGTCAACATGGAGGAGGTGCTGCGCAGATTGAGCCCGCTGAATCCGCTGAGCCCGCAGGGCGTGGACGCCCGGGGCAGGGAAGCCGGGGAGCCAGGGCTGGGGGGCGCCAGGGTGGAAAGCGGGGAAACTGATGGCCCCGAAGCGTCCGCAGACGGCGTAGCGTTAAGATTCGCCGCGCGCGCCAGCCCCAGTGCTACTGAGCCGGGGCACGCGCCTCCCGGGAGAGTCGCCCTGGGCGACCGCCCCGCCCACCTGGCTTTGATCAATCCGGTCGCGGCACCTGCTGCACCCCAGCCAATCGGAACCAGCCCTTATTTGCATACCACCCTCAACGTTGCAAGTCTTCTTATGCAAATATACTCCCGGTTCCCTCTGCGAAGGCGGGGCCTGAATGCAAATGACATGGTGCGAGGTAGGGGGCACAAGAAAACAGGTTCTGGGAATCCCTTTGCAACAATTGCATTTGTTTTGGTGGTGGCGGGCGGGGGGGGGGTGTTGTTATTGTTGGGATGCGTGAGGTGTGAGTGCATGCGTGCACACTTGAAAAACAACTGCGCAGCCTCCTTCCTAAGGAAGTTGGTTTGCTGCCGCCGCCGCCTTGAGATTAGCGCGAAGATAACGCCAGGTTTTGGCTTCTAAGAATCTGAGCTTGCGACTATTCAGGACGCTACCGCCAATGGTACTCCTAACCCGGGACAGTTGTTTTCCAAGAAACAGGAGGCTTCAAGCTGAAATCTGGACCCTACAAAGTGTCCTGTCGCAAGGAAGGATACCCCCCCACACTCCCACCACTGGAATCATTATGATCAAAGTTAGCGTTCCCACGCTCGACGTGGTAACCTGTGGGGCTGCTTTCAGAAGCCTTGACGTAGGCGGGACCTGGCTAGACTGCGCCAATGGGCCGTGGAATGGGTCTGCATCTAGAACAGCATGGTGTGGTCCTGGGGGGAGGGGAGCATTTCCGGCGAGATGAGGCCTGAGAGCCAAGCTGGAGGCTGCTGGAGAAATGATCGAACCTCCGCAGATGCAAACTCATGACCAACACCCGGGGAGGCCCCATGCCATGCACCCCAAACACACGTGCTGCCAGTCACTCAGGTCCACCTGTCTCGGATCCACCTGCAGACATAACTGTGCCACAGGCAAACACTGTGAGGCAGGGACACTCTTCAGTCGTGTCCCAGAATGACATGCAAAATACAATGTTAGATAAACACACTCCTGAGATGCATAGATTTACAGTTCCATGTGACAAACATGTCCTGTTGCATGCAGGGACATAACTTTCTGACACACATACATCATCATCATGACATGCACTATCATGTCCCAGTGTGTCAGACTGTCTGATTTCAACACTCCTGAGACACACACTGAAGGTGCAGTCACAGACACAGGGAGACTCAGGAACAGACACACACGCCATCAGACATGCAGCCTTGTCGCTGAAAGACCCTGTCCTGAAATAGCAAGGCAGACTGTCATAGGCATAGCAGTGGACATCCACCACAGCAAACAGCACCCACAGACACCACCATCACAGACCAACCCACGCAGCCAAGCACACATCTGAGATAGACACACAAACGGTCAGAGTCCCACACTCTGTCACCACCTGACACACCTGGAAACAAGCCTTTGTCGCACACGGCTGCAGATGCTCTGGTAAATGGCACATGAAGACTTGGACTCTCCACAGCCACACACACGCAAAAGCAAACACATCAGCTCTCTCTCAGACTCGTCAACATTACATGATTGGGGCTCTACTATTGATTAGCCTCCCTGGTGTTGGTGGGGATTCAGGTGGTAGTGACCCTTAGGGGAAGGCATCACAGCCCTGGCCCAGCTCATGGAGATTTGTAGAGAGAAGGTAAAATATGAGTAGAATCATCAGGCTTCTCAAAGATGACCCTCTACCCAGTCTTGGAAAACAAAGAAGCCAGCCTCCTGGTGCAGCACGTTAATAAGCTGCCGCCACCTGGGTGATGACTGAAGTGTTTTCAGTCCTGGCGGCTTTGCTTCCGATGCGGCTCCCCACTAATGCACCTGGGAAAACATCAGAAAATGGACTAAGTGCTCGGGCCCCTGTCACGCACACAGGAGACCAGATGGAGTTCCTGAGCTTTGAGTGTTGCAGCCATTTGGGGAGTGAACCAGCAGACGGAAGAGCTCTCTTTTGGTCGCCCTGCCTTTCAACTAAATAAATATTTAGAAGAAAAAAGACAAATAAAGTTGGCAGCTCAGCACAAATTGCAGGCAGACACCAAGGAGACTGCACGGGGCAGCAGAAAGAGCTAGGTGGGGGCCCAATGGTGGAGACTCTGCTAACAGGGTCACTGATAACACCTCCAAACACGTGCACGCACAGCAGGTGCCAGGCACGGCACTTAAGAGAACACTGTGCTGAGGGCACACATTCTGTCAACGCTGACAGAGCACAGGAAGGGGCATACATTAATCAGCTGCGCCACACAGATGGGACACTTGCAGCTTAGAGCCCATGATCTGAACATGGCCACAGGGACAGGAAACACTGAGGAAGGCTTCAGAACAACTCTCGGACACACATGCTTGACCAGTGCGTAGACATGCCACAGCCTGCCACCCCCAGGCACACAGAGCCACACTTTCTTCCATGGGGGGGACACCATTACTGAGGCGCACGCATGTACGTACACACACACACACACACACACACAAAGTTGTGGAAGGAAAACCTAGGGAGCTGGCTGGTCTGTGCCTTGGCTTTACCCTGAGGAAAGGCAGGACCAGGGGCCTCAGAGGACTGAGGGACACAAAGACAGATTGAGCCTTCCTGGGCTTCTAAGCCTCATTGGAGGCGCCGCCTCTGATCCTATCTGCTGTGTGGACTCAGGTTGCCAACCAAGCATCCGTTGTGCTTTTCCAAAGCATTTCACGTCAGGATTAGCAGGAGGCGAAGAGCAAACATTAATGGTAATGGAGGCAGGCAGCATTCAGACAGGAAGTTGTCTCTGCCCTCAGGCCCATTCGTTCCTCTGCCCACCCCCATCCCCATTCTACCAGCCCCAAGAAACAAGGTGGCCAGAGGCTGGGGCAGCAGGCAAAACCAGCTTTTTTTTTTTTTTTTTTTGGTGGTAACAGGTCCAGAAAGTTTAATGAGCAGCAAATCACGTGGGAGCTCTGGGGCCACAGACCCCAGTGGAGAGGACTTAGACCTCAGCAAGCCAGCCAAGTCCTCTGCTGTGGCCTCCTCTACCCTGAGGCCTGCCCACCCCCTGCCCCACACAGAACAGAGTCGCTGAGGGAAACTGACATTTGGTTTTATTGTGCCAAGGACATTACAGATGGCGGATCTTGTCAACACCTGTAGGGCACAAGTGCCCAATCTGCTGGGGCTGCTCCCATTCTCTGTACTCAAATCCTGGGTGGTACTCACAATCCCCACTGATGCCCCCCACTCCAAGATTCCAAGAAGACTTAGTGACGTTGATGGTGGAAGCAAAAGGAATGCAGCAAGGTCAGGATCTCATTGTCCACAGCTGGTCTGACGCCTGCGACCCCCGACCCGTGTCCCAGCTTGCACTCCAGGTCCTCTGCCTGCCTCCAAGGAGCTGGAGGTCTGAAGACAGAAGTCCGCCGGAAGACAGAAATCCACATCTTTGTGCCATCCCCCCTCCATGCCCCATGGCCTGCCTGTCCCCAAACCAAAGAGATGCCACCTTACCAGAGCCAATGCTGTCGTCTACATCATTTTTGTTTGGTTGCTTTTATATGATAAAAGTACATTTTAATAAAGAAAAAATCCAACACTGAAGGCTCAGACATTCTTAGGGTACTTGGAAAGGAAATTCCCTATTTCTTCCTCCAAGCTGCCTGTCATAACTGAAGGGATGTATATGACAGGCTTTTCTGATCTCAGAAGGAGCGAGGGGTAGGGAGCCTTTCCTCTAAATGTCACTTTCCTCTGGGGCTGCCAGTTGGTTGTCTCTCGCCTACCTCTGGCACCCTTGCCCGAGTCCCCTGTGGAATGCAGGGATGGTGCCGTGCGGGGGGCAATGGGGCACATCAGCAGGCGGAGAGACAGGTGGTGGCGGCAGCAATTCAGAGGGAATGCGGTGGGCAGTCAGCCAGGAGGAAGGAGGAGGGAAAAGGGGAGGGGGGAGAGAGAGAAAGCGGGAAGGAGGCAAGAGGAAAGAAAGCCAAAGGTGGTGGCGAGGTGGCATCAGAGGGCAGGAGAAGGGGGAGATTGGAAGATGGTTCCAGTCCCTGGGTCTCGATCAGCTCTTGTCCGGGGGTGGGTCTCTGTGCATTTTGTTTTTCTTCATACTGTCTAGGTATTCCTGTTGGGACACTGCCAGCACCGAAGCTAGGATTTCATCATCATCCCAGTCGTTCAGACCTGTTGGGCAAGAGCAGGGAAAGGATTATAAGACATACCCTCAGTCTGCTTTCCCCTCCTCATTTGCAGTTAATCCCAGGGGCTTCAAGGATTCAAGGAAAATCCCATCTAGGCCTTCTCGCTTCCATTCTCTATGGAAAAAGCTCCTCTAGGCCCCACTTAGTTCCCTTTTGGGACAAACCCCTCCAGCTTAGAAAATTCCCCCCATACATCTCACTTATTTTCCTGGAGAGACATCCAGAGGCTTTGGAAGTCTTCTCACAGAACATGTCCTTCTTCCAGTCTCTCCCCAGTTCCTAGCTGGCCCCTGTCCCCGAAGAGGCTTACCAAAGGCAGAAGGGGACATCTGCTGAATGAGAGCCCGGCATTCCAGAGCAGGATAGAGAGACACGAGGGGGGAAGTAGCCCGGTCGGCCCCTGCAGAGAACTGACTGCTTGTACCTACAGCAAATGGAGAGTCAGAGGGAGGGTCCAAGTCCCACCAGGCAGTGCCCTCTGATCCTGGCATGGCCCTCTCAGCAAGCCACTGACCTGGTGCACTGGGTGATGGAGGTTTGGCAAGCGCTAGGACAGTGCCTGGGGAAGGGGGTTTAATGCCTAACTCGGCATGCAGCTCAGGGTGCTCCGGGGATGAAGCTGAACTCCGCTGCCGTGGGGACCGACTGCTCCACTCTTCTAGGCCGCTGGAGGCTGCTGCTGTGGCCGAGCTACACGTGGCACTGGCTTTCCGGGGCTGCGGCACGGGAAGAAGAGCAGTAAGGACCACGACTAGCTGGGATGCACCTGTGTGCCAGCCCCAAGTGCGGGTGACCATCACTTTCCCTACAGGTCACTGCCATTTCTACTCACACAGTGGTCAGGGCTTGTCACAGGACATGGATCTAAGCTCCCTGACACCCTCTCATACCAGTACAGCCCATTACAGCCAATGTGATAGGAAATCCTGCCACCCATACCTTTAAAACAGACCCCAAGCCCAAAATTTTGACACCACCTCCACTAACCAGTACCAGCTGCTGTCACCTGATCTGTTTCAGTAGCCTCCTGCCTAGTTCCCTGCTGCCATCTTCAACCCTCAAACTCTGCTGTTCACCCAGCAGTCAAGGGGATCATGTGGAATCCCAAGTCAAGTCTTTGCTCTGCTTATGACTGTGCCACACATCTGCTTTACTCAGGATAGAAGTTAAAGTCCTGGCAAGAGCATTGTGTCATGGCGGGTCAGGCCACTACTTGAGACACTCAGCATCCCACATTAGTAGTGCCAGATTAAGCCCCAGCTGCTTAGCTTCTGATACAGCATTATTGCTAATGCATCCTGGGAAAACAGCAGAGGATGGCCCAAATGTTTGGGCCTTGTCACACAGATGTAGTTCTGGGCTCCTGGCTTCTACCTGGCACAACCCTGACCGTTAGAGGGTGTGGGGCATGAATCAACAAAAGGAAGATCTCTTTCCCATCTGCCTTTCAAGGCAGATGTGAATAAACATAAAAAAAAAAAAGGAGTCGCTACAGCCCCCACCCCCTGCCCTGACTACCTACCACCGACTCCCACTACCTCCACTTACTACTGCCTTCTGTTCAGCTACACTGACCTCCCTCCAGGCCTTGCCTGGATCGTACCAGGTGCTCAATCATACCTTTGCCTGCTCTGGTGCTCAGTTAAGTCGTCTGCAGATTTCTGCTCAAACCGCATCTGTCCGAGGCCTATGTTGACCATGACACTGTTCAGTACTGTGAATTCCTATCCCCTCCACCCTGGCTCTACATTTTTCATCCACAACATCCCTCAACTGATTTAGTCATTTTGCTTTTGTTTATTTTGTTGCATTTTTCATGGATGTGAAGATTGCAAGGACAGTGACCTTGGCACACCAGGCTCAAAGTATCCCAAGAACAGCGCCCAGCACAAGCTTGCAACAATATTGCTAAACACTTATTCGGTTCTTGGCAACACCCAATCACTCCAAACTCCCTGAGATTCTTCAGATGTCTGTCTGCCTCAGTCCTCCCTGCCCCCTAAGGATTCACCCTTCCTCTGTGAAGCTGATCCACAACCTCATTTGCACCGCTCCCCCAGCCAGGGCCACAAGCTTCACTGAATGCAAGAAGGGTGGGCCTGATTTGACATTCTCAGTGCAGAGCCCAGCTTCCAAGGGCTTGCAATAGAAGCTGGTCTTCCTGCAGCTCTCCACCATACCCTCATGCACTACAACAGTAGCTCTTCTCCCTCACCCTTCAAAGCTTGTTTTGACTACCCATTTAGAATTCAAAGGTACAATGCCAACAAGACTAAGGCCAAGATGAGCTACAAGTGGAAGAAGCTTCCTTCCCTTCCGTAAGTCAAACCACTTAACTCTACTCTGGTTGGGCCAAAGCATGGGAAGTAGGAAGTTCTTGGCCTGGTAAGCAACACAGCTCATAACATACCTGGCTAGGTCCACGGACCTGGCGGGCCTGTTTCTCCTGGTCCCGCAGCCACTGCAGGTAGGATTCCCTAGCCACCTGCTCCTCAATGGCCTCATTTGTAGCCTCCCAATCTGTAGCCCGTTTCTTGTCTTCTAACATCTGCTGTTCAATCCAGGACTCCTCCGATGTCTTTATGGCATTCTTCATCAGGGACTGTTCTGCAAACTGCAAGGAGGAGAGAACAGGCAAGTAGGGCCAAGGGTCAAAATAGGCTTAGCGAACCAGGTGGAGACCTCAGAAAACACCCTTGAGTTGCGAGACCTGTCATTCCAACCAAAGTCCTATGCTCACAAGTTCAGAAGCCTGAACCCATTCCCATTGAGGCACTAAATCTGGGATGGCCAGGTGCCCCGTAGCCTAGGCCTTCACTGAAAGCCCTCCCATTCAGTTTCATAATGCTGAGGTTCTCCTCACATGTACCCAGATGGGACCAACAACCTGAGAAGTGAGCAGTATTCACTCAGAGCGGCAAGAGAATTCACATCATAAGACAGTGGCCAAGGAGATCACGTGGCTCTGGGAAGCAATGAGAGGCAGTATCTAGGTGCAGCAAGAGACTGTGAGCATTTAAAAAATAAAAACAGCACAGTATATCCCAGGGTACAAGTATTAACATTGGCTTTTAAATCCTTAGCATTATTAGCACACAGATTACACACAAATATACGTGTACCAAGTGATGATGTAAAGCGTAATCTTTTTCTTGTGAACAATAACTTTAGAAGCAGGTAAAACTTTACTTGAGTTTTAAAAAAAATCAGTTAAACAGGATACAAAAAAAAAATCTAAGCATAGTTTATCAAAAGACATAAACAGAAGGCAAATAAGCATATGAAAAGACAGCTCATGATGCAGTATCTCCAATTGTAATTGATCTAAAAACTTATATCCACACAAAAACCTGCACACAGAAATTCAGAGCAGTGTTGTTATTCACGGTCATCAAAAACTAGAAGCCACCAAGAATACCAACAGGTGAATGATTAAATAACCATGATGCCTCCATAAACTGAATGTTACATTCACAAGAAACAAGCTACAAAGCTAAGTAAAAACAGGGAAGCACCTGAATGCATCCAGTTAACTGTAGAATTTCAATCTGAAAAGGGCAAAAAAACCGAAAGCCTGGTAAACACTTCAGTGGTCACGGGAAGGAGGAAAGGAGGAACAGTGGGAATTGTTAGGAGTGCAGAAACTTTCCTGAATGATAAGATGATGGGGGACTCATGCAGTGCTATTGTCAAAAGCCACAGAACTTTACAAAACAGAGAGCAAAGCTTAATGTATGCTAATTTCTTTTAAAAGATCAATTAGGAGGCTAGGGATCCAGGCTGGAATGCAGAAAGTGACAAAAGAATCTTAATGTGTTACAAATGAAATGAGCTCCCTGAAGGGGGTAGGGAGAAAAGCTAGTGACCTCCCAGTCACTTTGGAAATGAATGGAGTCTTAACACTAGAGGCAAAAGCACAGCATGGTTACTCTAGGTGATTGAGTTGTTTCCCTGGAGGGTTTGGGTTAACAAATCAGAATAAATGAAAGTCAGTGCTAAGTAAAAGGAAAAGCAGACAATTGGAGCAAGGTTTCTCACTGAGGCAATGGGAATTCACAGATGAACAAGAGGGGAAGGCTAGCATGATGCATGTGCTAACACATTTGAGTTGGAGACCTTGGTAAGAATTCACATTTCATATTGATTCAGAGAGTTGCACAGGGAAATATTCAGAGATGAGTGTACACACAAGCAGGAATGAGCACATATATACATCTCCAGGCTGTTTTCTATGAGGGCCTAGCAGCAAGGACAACCTACTAGCAAAGAATACCCTCAGCAAGTAGATTTTATGTTCCATAACATTCTCTAACAAAAGATTTCAGGGCTCCTTGAAGAAATGTCTGATTCTAGAACGGGGCCAGGAAATATACAACTGAATCTAGAGCACCTTGCAGCACTAGAAAGTAAAGGAAGTGCTTTAAAAACATCAGAACTTTATGAGAAACAAAATAAATAAAAGGGGAACTGAATTATCATCAAAGGTATAAAACAAATACCCAAGCAAGGGTTGTACAGTGAACTCCCTGGCAAAGGTGGAAAAGTGGTAACGCCGAGAAACCTAACAAGCACTACTTCTGTCATGTGATCAGGGAGGGACAGCAATAGTCAAAAATCCCATTGGTAGAACATACTGTTGACAGGATCTAAAGAACAGAGCACTTCAGCTCTGCAATCTTCCCTAAAACCAGTAACTAGTCCAATCTCCAACACCAAATTCCAAAAGAATTACAATGTACTTGAGCAGTACTCCTTAAAACCATCAAGGTCTTGATTAAAACAAGAGAAGCCTAAGAAATGGTTACAGATAAGGGATCCTCAGGAAGCCCAGCTGCTTCAGTTAATACTAATGTATCAAATATTCATTCAAAAGTATAACTGCTTCGGTTAATACTAATGTATCAATATTCATCATATCATTGTTATAAATGGACAGCAGTCCGTTGTGGAATACTGTTGTGGAATATTCCTAATAGCCCACTTGTATAAAAAGGAGATAAAAGGAAATTCTAGTATCTCTTCAATTGTTTTGTAAATCTGAAACTTCTCTAAAAGTGAAATCTACTGAATAAAAAACACTTCCCACATTCAAATTTTAACAGGAAGGAAGAGAAAGCATTCAAGCCAGGAAAAGACATGAATGAATCTGAAATGCATAGCAGTAAAGTGAAAAAAGTCAGCCTGTGCAGTAGCCTATCAGGTAAAGTCTTTGCCCATGTGGGTGCCAGTTCATGTCCCTGCAGCTCCACTTCCCATCCAGCTCCCTGCTTGTGGCCTGGGAAAGCAGTCAAGGATGGCCCAAAGCCTTGGGACCCTGCACCCGCATGGGAGACCAGGAAGCTCCTGGTTCCTGGCTTCGGATTGGCTCCACTCTGGCCATTGTGGCCATTTGGGGAGTGAATCAGTGGACAGAAGATCTTCCTCTCTCTCTTCTCTCTGTATATTCGACTCTCCAATAAAAATAAATAAATCTTAAAAAAGAAAAAAACAGTGAAAAAGGTCTGTCTGAAACAACTATATGCATACACTGCCTGACCCAACTACTTGCTAATCTAGAAAAGGCAAATCTAGTTAGCGGACAAACCACAAACAAAAGCAAAAGAAATTTAAAGAATTAAAAAAAATTTCTGAGAAACAGTCACAACTAAGAAGAGCCTCAACAGCCAAATTTTGTAATGTGATATCCTGGATAGGATCCTGGAACAAAAAAGGTCATTAGGGCAAAACTGAGAGACTCTGAATAAAGCGCAGTCTCTAGTTAATGATATATCAAATTCAGTTAATTAATGGTGACAAATGTACTAGGCTAATGTGTTCATTATCATGAGATATTAAGAACTCTGCAATATCTTTGTACTAGTTTGTATATCTAAAATTTCCTAAAATATTTTTTAAGCTTATCTAAAATTAAAAGTTTATTCCAAAACAAAACAAAACAAAACAAAAAACCTGTCTGTTGAAGGGTCTATTAGTGTTAGGGTGTTTCTTTCCTAAAATGAGGCAGGAGTATTTTCTATTTATAGGAAGTGAAATTTGAATAAAAGGTATCAAAATCCCCAGCAGATGACTATATTAGGGTAGGAAAGAAAGTAAGAACGTATTTGTGTGTGCTGGGAAAATGCCCTGCTACTTTCTTTTTTTAAATTTTGAATTTTATGGTATAATTCCATAGAATCTGGGATTTCCCTACTCCGGGCCTGCTACTTTCTGATTACTGGGTAACTAGTTAATTTTACTGAGGTGATGCCTCAATAGACCCAGAGAGGAGACAGGACAACTCTGTAGAGGCCAAGAGAGATCTCTGAGCTCCATATCCAGCAGCCATCCCAGTGACGGGGACCCACTTACCCCTGGTTTGAAGGATGGCAGGCCCAGCCCCACGCCAATGGTGGCCTTGTTAGGATTCACCACTGAATTATAGTGGATATTCCGGTGGTAGCTGACGCGGATGGGCTCATCCTCATTTTGATGTATCCCATGGAATGTGTTGATAGGTTCTACAGGGGAAAAGAAGAAGGGAGTATCCACAGAGGGCCAGGTATGGCAAGCTTGCCGGAGGTGCCACTTGTCTCCCCCCCTCACTCCTCCCGCTCCGCTGCACTACTACAGAAGTACCTGTGCTATACTGGTACACCTCCACGGGACGGTTATACATCTCCGCCATGGCCTGCATCTCAATGTGGTTGCCATGGCAGTTATTTTTCCGCTTGCGGTTGATGTAGGTGGTGAAGTCCTCTGTGACGTAATTGGAAAAGTAGTCGGCATTCTTCATCTGCAGCACAGATTGGAAGGTCAAGGTCTGTGTGGAGAAGAGAGGAGATCCTCCCACCCTGCCTGACCCAAGGCCTGCCCAAGGTCTCACCAGATAGTCCATGCAGTGCTTTCGTACAACCTCATGCATGTCCTGGTCTCCATACACCTGGTCAGCTGTGGGGACAATGGAGGCACACGGGTGAGAGCTACCACTAGATAGGAGTCCTTAGTCCCAGAACATCTTCAGTGAGGGGAGCTAGAGGACCAGGGAAATTCCCATTCCTAGCCCAAGGTCTGGAAAGCTCCCGCCCCTGTACTAGAACGGGGATCCATGGACAATGAGACATATGTGATCTTGAAAACAAGAGAATGCAGATGAGAGGGATATGGCCAGAGGTTACTGCAGCAGTTGCCCAAGGCATGCCTGGCCACTCAGACAAATCACCAGCACTCTAAGTTCCACATATGTCCTTGAGCATAACCATTCCCTGGCTTTTCACTTTCCACATGTGGAAACAGAGGCTGAGGGACAACTGATTGCTAGCCCATGACAGAACCAACTCCAGAATTCAGGTTTTGATGCCTGACTCCCAAGAATAAGCATGGCTCTGATAGGTTTGGGAAAAAAAAAGGAATAAAGGGGGTCAGTACCATGACAAAGTAGGCTAAGCCTCTCCCTGCAACTCTGACAGCCCATTATGAGTGCTGGTTCATGTCCCAGCTGCTCCACTTCCCATCCAGCTCCCTGCTTGTGGCCTGGGAAAGCAGTTGAGGATGGCCCCAAAGCCTTGGGATCCTGGCTTTGGATTGGCTCAGCTCTGGCCACTTAAGGAGTTCATGGAAGACCCCTCCACACCCCCGCTGTCTTTTTTTTTTAACCATCCATTCTTCTTTAAAAAGATATTTATTTTTATTACAAAGTCAGACATACAGAGAGGAGGAGAGACAGAGAGGAAGATCTCCTGTGCAATGATTCACTCCCTAAGTGACCGCAATGGCCGCAGCTAAGCCAATTTGAAGCCAGGAGTCAGGAGCTTCTTCCGGGTCTCCCACGCAGGTGCAGGACTAGGGTTCCTTCACTGGGTTCTCTGCTCAGTTCTGCCAAATAACAGTGAGCTAAGTGATCCAAGTCTTTTGAGCCTCCTGTGCCTCTGAACGTACAGCAGCAGCAGGATGGCTACAGCCTAGCGTGCCTCTTGGGGGGACTCAATAACAGGTGGAGTGTGGTGGGCCCTGGGCCTAGTACAGGGAAGTCACCCAACAGGATGAGGGAGCCTTTCCACAGTAAGGCTTCAGAGTCAGTAACTATGAAGGGGGCAAGCGAACTATATTCCTGCACCTGCCTTCAAAGAGCACACAGGCACCTGACTTTAGCTGAATTCAAGCAGGACAGCCTCTGGCCAAAGGCTCAGGAGACATGGGATTCGGTCAAACTCAGGTTAGCAGGAACCAGACTCCTGCCTCACTTAAGGACCTGCACACATGACATTCCCCTTCCGCAGCATGCTTTTCCACCCTCCTCATTGCTTACTTCTCAAGTCCTCATCTGCTGGGTTGCCTCCCTCCCAGGGAATCTTTGTCAGCACACACTTCTACCCCAATCACACTGGGCTCACATGGCAGAGAGGGCAATTCATCTTCAGGGCCTTCCTGAGCTTAGGGAAGGAAATCAGGGAGAGTCTACTGGGCTGATAGGCTGAGGGAGCCAGGGAACTCTCAGGGAGCCTAGAATGGGCTTAAAGATCAGCTACAGCAGAATGCCACTGACTGAGACAAAGAGGGAATTTCCCTGTGGTTCCCCTGGGGACCGGTGCACCAAAGGCTCTCCCAGGGCACTTGCAGAGGTTTGGTCATGCAGGGAGTTTCCCCATGACCATCAATGTAGCTCTGTTAAACACCTTTGCTGGACCCAGTGGCGTGGCCTAGCAGCTAAGTCCTTGCCTTGAAAGCACCAGGATCCCATATGGACGCCGGTTCTAATCCCAGCAGCTCCACTTTCCACCCAGTTAGTTCCCTGCTTGTGGCCTGGGAAAGCAGTTGAGGATGGCCCAAAGCCTTGGGACCCTGCACCCACGTGCAAGAGCTGGAGGAAGTTCCTGGCTCCTGGCTTCAGATCAGCATAACACTGGCTGTTACGCTCACTTGGGGAGTGAATCATCAGATGGAAGATCTTCCTTTCTGTCTCTGCTCCTCTCTGTATATCTGACTTTGCAATAAAAATAAATAAATATTTTTTTTTAAAAAAAAGCCTTTGCTGCCCTCCCTTCCCTACTTGGGAGACATGGAGAGAGGAGCTGGCGTGGTGACGCCACATTAAGCTGCCACTGCCTATAACACCAACATCCTATAGGAGTGCTGAATTGCATCTCAACCATCCTACTTCTGATCCAACTCCCTGCCGATGTGCCTGGGAAAGCAGTGGAAGATGGTCTAAAGGTCTGGGCTCTTGCCACCCATGTAGAAGACTTGGATGGAGCTGCTGGCTCCTGGCTTCCACCGGCCCTAGCCTCAGTAATTGTGGTCATCTGGGGAGTGAACCAGCAGAGCTATAATGCATGTGTATACACATACTTGCTCTTTGTGTACATCTCTGGTTTTAATTCTTTTTTTAAATTGCTCTCAGAAGAAAAGGCTCATGTCCCTCTCAATCTTGGTGGAAAGTGGGTAGTACGAGCTGAGGGGGGGTGGGTAAGAACTGCGAAGGCGGGAAGGGGTAGCCCCTTTACAGATGTAAACAAGGATGTGGGTTCCAAGGCCACACTCTTCCCCGCCCCACCCCCAGTGGCACTTCCAGCAAGTCACATGGCCCACATACAGGTTGGGGGCCCCCTGCTGCTGCCTTTCTTAGAAGCCTGGACCACAGAGGCTGCTGTGGGTTGCCTGCCAGAGCTGCCTGAGGAGCTATTTCTGTAAGCTCAGCCCGGGGTGTCCGCAGGCAGTGCAGGTGATAGTGCTGTCTGCAGCTGCAGGAGACAGAAACCCAGATGGCAGTGAAGGGGCTGAGGGGCTAGCCTGTCAGGGAGCCTGCCGAGGTGAGTTTCTGCTGTGCTAAAAGGGTTACCATTTCCAGGGAAATGGGGAGAGGGGAGAGCGAGAACCCCATTTCCCTACCACGGACCCTTTTGCCTGGGCAAAGGACTATCTTCTCTGTGTGGCATCAAACAAAAAACAAAGCCTTTTACCTCTCTGGGCTGAAATGTCATCCTCATTCAGAGTAATGACAGTAACTGTTCTTCCACTCACAGCGCATTGCCAAGATTGCTTGTGACAATCTGTCCAGTGCCTGAGATACAGCAGGTGGTCAATAAGCCCAGCCCTGCTCATCCAGAGCACAGCGATTTCTTCACAGCCCTAGCCTGCTAGCTGCCCAGCAGGGTGCCGGAAGTGCGTAGCAACTCCTTCTCCATTCATGTTGCAGTTCCTCCTCGTGAGGAAAGCCCCAAACACAGAGCCTAGACCTGCCCTTGGTTCAAAACTTGGACCATCAAATGAACTTCAGCGGAATAACACAGACTCCACCAAAGTCCTAGGGTATGGTAAGCCATGGGACTTCTCCATTCAGTCATAGCTGGGGGAGGGGGCAGTGAGGAAGAAGAGACCCAGCACACCATTAAAATGGACAAAAATGCGCAAGGAAGCAGCAGCAGTACCTCCCTACCCAAGGGCGAGGAGGAGGCAGCAGAAGCAGCCAGATAGGTTAGGGCTAACTACTGGAGCGAACTTCTCTCAGCTTTCCTACTTATCCCAGTCCTCCAGAAAGCCCCCCTCCTCTTGGAAGGTTGGCACCTGGGGCTGGAAGCCAGGCTGCACATTCCCAGGAGCAGGGGCCAAGAGGGGCCCATTGGACCTGCAGAGGTAGGGGAATTCAGAGAACTTGTTTTGATAGAAACTGAAACCCCTCCTCTTGCTGACGCTGCATTTGTGGCAATCTGCACCTGTTCTCCTAGAGTCCAGCTGGATTGGAGTCCCCCACTACTCCACCTCTGCTCCCATCCCAAATAGGACTTTTAGAAAGCCTAAATACACTACTACCTTTGGTTACATCGAAGACCTTTCACATTCTAACTCATCTGGTGTTCAACCAAAATCACACATTACCACTCCCCACTCCAATCCAGCTGCCATCCTGGCCACCTTACTCCCTGGGACCAGGCCTGAGCCTGTGCACCTCAGAATCACAATCAACACAGGCAGCAACCAGGTAAAACCCATGAAAGGCCTGGCAGCGGGCCAAGATCAAACTGCAGAGGCCATTGTCCTCCCTAGGGCCACAAGGGTTAGTATGAACCTAGCCTCCCCATCCCCGCTCCCCACACATTTCCTTCCTGTCTCTTAGCATCCAGACACAGCACAGAAATGCATACACATGCTTAGCCAGTAGAGCCTGCCAGAGATGTTCCCGAGCCCAAATGCCCACAGCCAACCCCACAGCAACAGAACCATGGCAGGCAGCAAACACACACGCCTGGGGCACCAACCAGGCCAGACAGAAGGCAGGGCAGGATGTGAGCCTGTACACACTGAGGAGCCCCCGCATCTCTCCTAGCCTTTGCCAGCAGTGGGAGTAGGACTAGCTGAGAGCTGGTAACAGATTTGCCTTTATCTCTCTCCCCTGCTGCAGGGGCAGGGGGAAGTCCTCCTTCCCTATGTTCCCTAAAATGTGGAGAAGCAACACAGGAGAGGCTGGATTGCCTTTCTAATGTGGTTTAAGTACAGCCCCCACACTAACTCCCCCATCTACTTTAGAGGCACCTGTAGACTACCTATGCCCCAGACTACTACCTGGTTGGCTGGCTGCTAGTAGAGCCACAGGAAGTTCCATCAAGGACAGAAAAGGAAGCATGATGTCTACAGTGAACCTAAACCCAAACCACATAAATGTGTGTTTACACAACAGAAGGAGGAAACTGGGACCCAGTAGGCTCCCCGTTATCATCCTGGGTTCAATGGTAGCACTTGGATGAGGAGCCAGGAAAAAGGGATTGACTGCCTGCCCAAGCAGGTGTGGTATGACTAGGTCTGCAGTCCTGACTCCTGCAGTGGGCACACATACTCTCAGTGCGGGAGACAGGAGGAATCCGCCCCTGATAACCTGCTGTCTGCGTACTCTGCCTGTGGCAAAGCTGAGAAGATGAAGGTAAGAAACGGCTGTGGGACTCTTCTATTCTGTTGAT